AGAACATGTACTAAATAAATCTTTTTCAAAGTCTTAATCAAGTTTATTTAGCTTTAATGTTTTATCATTTCAAAATAAGGATCAATTCAAAGCCAACAGACCCTAAAAATAAAGCTCTGATCACAAAGAACAGAGGTAAAAACATCAACAGGGATTATAACTCAAAAAGTCGTAATAAGTCTAAACATAGATCCAAGTCTATAGATAAAATAAAATGCTTATATTATGGTAAAATAAGTCATATAAAGTGATACTAAAAAATTTTAAAGTAAGAGCAAAAAGATAAAAAAAAAAAAAAGAGTTTAGATTATAACAATGTTATAGCAGTGAATTCATATAGTAATTCTATTTACTTTGATTTGCATACATGGTGATTGTAATCATGTTGATAATCTTAGCATTAAGTGGATAATTGATACAAAAGTAGCATATCATTGTGTTTCTAAGAGGAAGTTGTTTACATCTCATAAAGTAAGAGACTTTGGTTTACATCAAGATGAGAAACAATATTGTATCGCAGGTTATTGAGATTAGTGATATTATAGTACAAACTAGTGTAGGTTACATGTTAATTTTAAGGGATGTCAATCACATTTCAAATATGAGAATGAACTTACTTGCTATTAATGTCCTTGATAAGGAAGGATATAAGAGCCAACAAAAAAATAAACAGTGAAAGCTTCTCAAAGGATCTATGGTAGTTGTAAGAAAAAAATTATGCTGTACAATATACAATATATGAATATAATTAAATAACAATCAAATAAATACCATTGAGAATGATGCTTTAGCAAATATGTAACACAAAAAACTGGTATAAATAAGTGGGAAGGGATTATCAATTTTGGTAAAGTAGTCTCTCATTAGCTTGACCAAAAGTATGTCTCTCGATTCATGTGATCATTATTTGCTTAGTAAGCATCATAAGTTTCTTTTCGTTAGCATTCTCAGAGAAAAAAATAGATTAAAATTAATTTATTCTAATGTATATGGTTCTATTGAGTTTGGGTTATTAGATGGTAGTAGGTATTTTGTTAATTTTATTAATGATGCTTCACATAAAATTTGGATATATATGTTAAAAAAAAAAAGCTAGGTGTTGTAGTATTTTCAAAAATTTCATGTAATGGTGAAAAAGATGATAAGGTTGCCCTTAAAGTGTATTTAGATTGATAATGATAGCGAATATACATCCAAAGATTTTAAAGAATATTGTTCAAAGTATGAGATCAAGCATGAGATAACAGAACCTAAAATTTTATAGCATAATAGTGTAGCTAAAAGAATGTTAAACAGAGTAAACATTCATTTCCATCAAAAAATGTTAAGCAAGAAAAGCAATATTTGATATCAGGTAATGTAGAGTCTCAACCTATGAGATCTACCAGAGAGCACAGACCATCTACTATATATCTAATTTTAGATTTTATTTTAATTACTAGTAAGAAAGAGCCAGAGAACTTTCAAGATTAACAGACTACTCTGGATAGAGAGTATTAGTTAAAAGTAATGAAAGAAAAAATAAAGTCATTATGCAAAAATGAAACACATGATATTGTTAAACTTTTAAAAGAGAGAAAGCCATTAAAAAATAAATAGGTGTTCAAGTTTAAAAAAAAGATGATGATAAGTTAATAAGATACAAAACTCGATTGATGGTGAAAGATTTTTTTCAAAAATCCAACATCGATTTTGATGAGATCTTCTTTCCAGTTGTAAAGATGAGTTCCATTTTAGTAGTATTGGATTAGTAGCTAGCTTGAATCTTAAGCTTGAGCAACTTGATATCAAGACTGCATTCTTGTATGGTAACTTGTAAGAGGATATTTATATGGATCAATCTGAGGATTTTAAAGTGAAAGAGAAAGAATATTTAGTTTGCAAACTGAAGAAAAGCTTGTATGGCTTGAAATAAGCTCCGCGACAATGATACATAGAAAAAGTATGTTGAACGGGTACTTAGTAAATCTAATATGTAACATGCTAAATCATATAGCAGTTCACTTGCTAACCATTTTCATCTAAGTAAGAAATCTTATCTGATGATTAAGGATTAGTAACTAGCTATATCTAGTGTTTTTTATTCTTTTGTAGTTAGTTTTTTTACGTATCTTATAATTTACACACGGTTTGATACTGTTTATGCAATTGGTGTATTGAGCAAATTTTTTTCTAATCCGAGAAAAGTTCACTAGAAAGCATTGAAATAAATTTTCAGATATTTGAGGAGCATCTAAAAAATATGCTTGAGTTATGGAGTTTTACAACTAGTTCTAGAAAGGTTTACTAATATTGACATGGCAGGTGATTTTAATGGTAAGAAATCTACTTCATGGTATTTGTTTACTTTTGCAAGAAGAACTATATCTTGGTAGTCTAAGTTATAAAAATATGTTGTCTTGTCAACTACAAAGGTTGAGTATATTGCAGTAACTAAAGCAGGTAAAAAAATGCTTTTGATAAAATATTTTTTTCTTGAATTGAGGTTGAATTAGAAAAAGTATGTAATATTTTTTTGATAGCCAAAGTGCTTTAAATTTGAGTAAGAATACCATAAATCATGCTAGAACAAAGCACGTTAATATTATATATCACTGGTTACATTCAATGATCGAGAAACAACAGATACAGTTAAAAAAAGTCATACTAATGAGAATGCAACAAATATGTTGACTAAAATACTTATCAAGGAAAAGCTTGAGCTCTGCAGTAATTTGACTGAAATGGATTTATTGGCCAAGGTAAGTTTCAAATAAAACTATTATGGTGATGAATCTACTTTTAATAAAGTTGAAAAGAGAGATTGTTAATAATGTGTCGGGTTTAGCCCCAATTGATTAGCCAATTAAAAGGCTTGAAGACTTGTTGCCTTAAACCATGAAATAAAGCCCTACATATAAAAGAGTAAGGGCTGTTTTTGGCAAGCAAAGTGTGGCATCGAAAGCCAAAAAGGGAAAATAAAAGCCAAAAAAATAAAAAATAAAAAGAGAAAAAGAGTTGGTTGAACGGAAGTCAATCTGTAGTCCAATTGAGCTAAAATTTTGTCAACAAGTTCATGATTTAATATTCTACATTTTGAACAGTGAAAATCAAGTTTGAAACTTTTTAAGAATAAATAAATGGTATATTTGTTTAGTCATTTATTTAGTGAGATTTTTTTCAATTATCTCTCTAATTATTGATTAGCTATAGTTTTAACTAAATGAGAACTTGTATATCCATTATTTGATAGTGAAAATTTTTTTGGTGGTTTGTGATTTTTTTCTTTACACTTGAGGGTTTTTCACGTAAATCTTAGTGTATTTTATTTTTTCTACATTGTTAATTATTAATTATTGTCTGTAAGTTTATTGTAATATATTATTTCTACGTTATTGTGTTTGTCACTTCAAATTCAACATCTTGTTGTAAGAGGCTTTCAAAAAATGAATTAAAGAATATGGCATATCATTAACTACCCTCAATGCCAATTTTTTTTTCTTATAATGTATTTGAAAAATATAAATTTTTTTTTTACCAAAGAAAGACAAATATAGAAATTTTTATGCATGCATGTGTAGATTTATTGAGTACTCTTAGTATATATAATAGTAATCAGCTTCTATTTCATAAAGTTTATCTTAAGATTCTATGCTGCCATATCCTCATTTAGTCCACTTATAAAGTACATGATTATATATATATATATAATTCAGCTCAAAGAATAATTATATTAAAAAACCTATTTTCTCAAATTCATATCTCGATCAAAAATACTTCTTTTGAACATGAGAAACTTATGTGTTAAATTTTCAATTTTTAATATTAGTTCTACATTATTAGTAACTATTTTTTATATCTTTTCACATTGCTGTATCTAAATTATATACTTCTATAATGACAAATATGAAATGATGTCAATTATATATTAATTAGTCATTATTGATGGCGTGATTTGTCTGTTACCGTGAAATTACAAAAGAAAAAAAATTTTGAATAAAAAGCGTTCACACATTTAACAAGCAAAAATGGAAAAACGAACATGATCTTGTGAAACATGATGCTGTGAAACAATTGAAAATATTTTTCTTACTTTGCATATATATATATATATATATATATACATATATGAATGTATATATGCACTCTTCGTCCTTGTAGGCTCGTCCTTTTGTCGAAATCACAACTTGTTCAAGTGCTTCAACTATATATGATTTTAACATAGTGGAATCCACTCACCTATTTTCAAGTTTTATTTTTGGAATTTGTGAAAAAAAAATTTAATGAATTATAATAGAATTTTAAAAGCAAAATTTTAGTTGAGTGTATGAAATAAGTGAATTAAATGAGTATGTATAGCAGTTTCTTAAAACTATTATTATTATCAAAAAAATCAAATTTAAACAGAAGCAATAAACATTTGTGTATATTAAGTTGTTAGATGAACAAAGTTCTCATGCACGGTGTCGAGGATAGAACATTCAAATCAATTATTAGATTGGTGATCAAAACTAAATTAAAAGAATTCTATCGGGTAGATGGGAAATACTTGAACGAAATTATTTTAAGTAAAATTTGTAAATTTTTTATTAGAAATAATTAAATAAAAATTAATAAATTGAAATATCTCATTATATAGGTTAAGTGTGTAAAATTTTAAAAAATTTTAATAAATTTTTAGATAAACATTTTTAGTAAAAATGTTAATAAAATTTTTATCTTTGAATAAATATCGATAAAATTTAAATTATAAATAATTTTTAATAATTTATTTTATATATTATTGATTTTTAAATTAAATTTTATTAATTTATCGTTTTAAAATTTTTTTAAAAAATTTTATTAAATTATTTTTAAAAAATTTAAATTTCACTTAAAAAACATCGTATGTTTTATTCTCGGATAAAAATATGTCAATTTTATACAAATTGATGCAACTTGATCATATATTTTGATCCTACATCTACCTAGCTATATATAAAGATGAATTGAGACAAACCATATCAAAAACTTGATAGTCAATAAGAGAAATGATATATGTGTCCCCTTGAACCAGCTTACCTACACAAGCATCAAAAGAATTTCGTAAATACCAACTAATTTACTGATAAGCAATAATATGTCCTATTTCACCTTTTTTTCTTCTAGTACACAACCCCATATCTGCCTAATAATTTGTTGTTACTGTGCATTAGGGAAAGCAGTTGCTGTGTGGAAGTCTTTTGCACGCTCAACAAGACGAGAAGGGAATAATTTCCATGAGTAACATTCCATCTAGCGTTTACTAGTTGACCAGAGGACTGAGTCTCTCGTGGATGTGTGGAACACAAATCCAAGACCGCTCTATTTCTGCGGCAATAGGACCTACCAAGTTGCTATACAATTACGAAAACTTGCAAGCAATCCTGCGATAAGCAAAAGAGGATCAGCAGAAGGAGTTGGAGGAGGAGGAGAAGAGCTTCTTTGGGTTTTGAAAGAAATGGAAGGAGAGAGAGGAGTCCCGAATTATGAGCTACAAGTTTCCTTCTCAACTCCACAGGCGATCCACGAAATGGGGTTTGTACAATTTGAGGAAAACCAGGTCTTGAGTTTCTTGGCTCCCGCACAGTCTTCTCATCAAATATCTCAGCCTTTAAACGCCGCCACCAATAGTAATAGTACCAATTCCACCGCCATGGGGTTTGGTCATAACGATCAGGTACATAGTTAAGCTTAACTAAAACTAGGTTTTAGCAAAGCAAGATAAAGTAACCTTTTAAAAAACTTTCAAAATATATATATATATATATATATATATACATATATATGCTCCTGAAACTTGACATCTGATGTGGGATTTTGTTTCCTTCTGTGCTTCTTTACGATTTTCGTTGTTTTTGTTTTGCGTTATTAGATTGCTGATCGTTGTATCTGATGCTGGTATGGGAAAATTTTAGGTAGGGACCTTAGATCCCAAACTTGTAAATGACGAGAACTGCGCCAGTAACGCCAACGATGGAAATAATAATTCATGGTATTCTGATTTCTTATCTCTTTGCTTAATTTTCTTTTCTTATTTATGGGTCATGTTCTTTCTCAACCGCACACGCACTGACAGAGACTCCCACCAAAACATACATGCACGATATCTCATATACCCTAGATGTGTTAAATTCTTTAAAGGTTTTTTCCAGAATCTAAGGAGATCTGCCCTTATATGGAAGAGGGTTGCTTCAGCTAGCTAATGGAATGCTTTTTGTATAGCATATGCATATATATTAGTCGTACTTTCTCTTTCTCCTTAGTGGGCATGAAGAAGGAAATTAATACTTTGGTATGAGAAAGTCTTGATATGCATTGATACCCGAATCCGCATGCATGTCCATCAAATAGATCTCACTTTTCCACTTCCATCAGTGGCTTTTTTCACAAAAAGGTTGAGCAACTTGGGGTTTTGGCAGGTGGAGGAGCTCAGCCTCAGATAAGACCAAAGTGAAGGTTAGGAGAAAGCTTAGAGAACCAAGGTTTTGTTTCCAAACGAGAAGTGATGTTGATGTGCTGGACGACGGTTACAAATGGAGGAAATACGGGCAGAAGGTTGTCAAAAACAGCCTTCATCCAAGGTACTTTTTCTATACTTGTCACTATGCATGGGGTAACCTTCATTCATCAAAGTTTTAGTTCCTAATGAAATGATTATGCAATTATTTTTCTTCCAATTCAAAGCCAGGTTAGATTTATTAATCTAGGTTAAGGAATTTTCATAGATAAATTTCAATATAGACAAGCATGATTAATCAATCACGAAGATTTCTTTAAAAACTATTACAGCAGCATGTTTAATTACAAGCTTATTTCGATCATTTGTAGGAAAGGAAAAGGGGAAGGGTAGTGCTACAACTATTTTTAAACTACAAACATATAAATTTTACTTGTATATATTTGTTTGTACGCTTTTGGAGAGAGTATCATAAAGGTTTGTTTTGCCTGCTTGAAATTCATCGTTTTCTGGGTTTCCAACAAATTCAAATGGAAATTATTGCCAAACATTTTTAAAAGCACACTTATGTAATATGCACACTCATATGAAAGACGTGCGGGTGATGAATACTACTCAATCAAGAAGGGGGTAGAGAAATTTAATAAGAAAATGACTGTCAAAAATAAGTACTGAAGATGTCCTCGTTTGATATAAAACTAATGGTCTTCTGCCCTAAAGAACTATAAAACTCTTTAAAATTGACTTATACAAGATGCTCAAAAATGTCACTAGAAGTGAGATTAATGTAGGTATTTCTCGTCTTCAATTTCTACAGATGAACTATATATTACAAGCAACAAAGTATATTAGAATTTAATCCATGGATGTGCTATAATGTTATCCATCTCTTACCTAAGGTTTTGTTTGAGTTATTTGGCAGAAGTTATTATCGCTGTACGCACAACAACTGTAGAGTGAAGAAGAGGGTTGAACGATTGTCAGAGGATTGTCGAATGGTGATAACAACTTATGAAGGTAGACACAACCACTCTCCCTGTGATGACTCAAATTCATCTGAGCATGAATGCTTTACATCTTTCTAATAAATAGGATTCAGAAAACCAAAACAATATATTAAATGTTATGAATAGAATGTATTATCTTTTGGCATCTTTATCCAAATAGTGATTTGAGGGCTTCTCTTATGGTAATCAAATTGGAGACAGGAAATGCCTTAAGTATTTTATATAACTTCTAGATATATGGTCAATATGATCTTATGTTTCCATCGTTTTTCAAATAAAGATGGCAATAGCTATCAAATGGTGAAGTACAATATATTGTAAATATTGCATATATATATTTTTCATCAAAGATAAAAAAGATAGTACCATTGCTAAATTCCATAAAATAAAGAAATGAAGTCATCACTTCCACAATAGACTATCAGAATTTATATCAAAACAAAACAACATTCAAGCTGTTACAGATGTTTTTCACACAATTATTCATAGCTGATAACAGCCAAATTGCTTTGGCTCAGAAAATGAGATAGTGACATACGTACAAAGATCCAGGAAACTTCATATTACCTTTTTGGATATAGCCTCCCTCTGCGTTTACTCCGGACACCACTATGCCAGGTGATGCTCATTTTCTTAAGGACATGTCTATTCTTCGGCAAAAACTTGATCAGCTCAAGCTCATCATCGTTACCATCAGCATATCAATTAGCTTAACCATCTTGAGATAACATGTCAAACATTTCCATTCATAATTCCATTCACGCTGTTAAGCACGCAAGTAAAGATTGCAACATGTGTAAATAAAACAACAAAAAATGGAATCAAAGAACAAAACTTGAAGAGAATAAGAAAGTTAGGAAAAGGAAAAAAAAAAAAAAAAGTAAGGTGAAAAGTAGTAAAAAATCCTCCAAAGACGAGTTTAGTAATAAAAGGAAGAGGGATAAAAACGAACCAGAAGCCCGTTCTAGCGTTAGCATCCGACAACCTTTTGGAGACTGCGTGATTTTTTTGGTGGCCAAAAAAATGGTGTATCAGTGGGATGTCATTATAGCACTGTTTAGGCCAAGTTCTTATTTAACCCAACCCATAGGAATCGATATGCCATTTGAGTATCAATGGGCCACTTCGGATCCCACATCATCTAAGGCACCGACATATCATCGTTGGGTTCATGTCCCACCTTGTCACTTACAGGCTGCAAATGTGTGAGCGTGCTGCCTCGGGGGATTGAACTCAGGTTGGATGCGTGGAGCTCACCACTAGGATGAAAAAGTTACAAATGGCTATGTAAATGACGTGCTCTATCTACAGTGCTTGGCTATCTTTTTAATTTCTTTTACTAACAATTAAGTACAGCAAACAATGCCATCTCTTTTATGATAGATGTTTCATTCATGAGGGTGTCAACTGTCCATTTCAAAAGTCCTTTTTAGGAAGTCAAGTCAGGCTAGTAGTCTTGCTGAAATATTACTCCAGCCTTCAATTCAGAGATCAAAATATTAACTCTCCATCAATATGTACAGAAGGAAGCTGTAGTCTGGGAGCAAACTTCAACAAGTAGATTATAGTAAGTAGCATTCCTCCATGCCAATGGACAATTTTAGGGACTTCAAGTTATAAATGTAGTGGAGAAGCACCCTTGCTTAGAACCTGCAGGGTTAAATTCACTGTAGGGACAGGAAGAAGAAAGAATGAGAACAAGATAACTGCTTTAGTTTTGTAGAAAATCAAATTATCATCAAGCAATACATTAACTTCACCATAATAATACTCTATTGTAATTTGTTAACAATTTTGAACACAAATTTTGCATCATAAGAATAAACAGTTGCAAAAAAAGCATTCTGCTTCAGGTCATAGAAAAGAGGGAAACATTCTGCTTCACAAAACGTTTGTATTAGAGAAATCTCTGATGAGTTTACTCGAAAGGTAACCAGGGGAAAATGTTTCCGTGACTATTCCTCAAAATGACCGTTTTCTAACTGAATAAACACTTCAGTTACAGAGGATAGATCCTGAAGAAAACAGTCAACCGACATAGGACCGACATACTTGAATGACAAGAGATTCACTGCAAAAATCTTAAGTTCAGTCCCACATAAACCATAATGCAATTTGGCATTCTCTACGGCCAGAGCCTTTAGACTCCCAGGAGATGTATCAAGCACCTTAACAGTGTCGCAAACACACCTCTCTAGTATCAATTTTTCAATGAAGAGACATATTAGGAATATCAATTGAGATGAGTCATCGTTTGGAAATTTAACCGAAACAAGGTGAAGTGAAACCAGGTCCCGAAACCACGCCTCGATGAAAAAGATCCAGTATACAACGATCTTGAATTTTGTTATAAACTCTTTGTCACGATTCCAACGTCGATAAGACAATGGGTGGTCTTGGGTTATAAAATTATGAGTCGGCTTCAATCGAATATATGTCTTTTGGATTAAAAGTGTAAACTAATCTAAATTGTACACCTGTAAAGAGTGGTATAAAAACAGATCAACTCTTGATTGATGTGAAATTTTATGAGAGATACTAAAATTAAGATAAGCCCGGATTAAGGTGAGTCAAGTAGATAATTCCATAAAAAATATTTGGGTAGAGATAAATCCAGATCAAAATAAATCCCTCTTTTTTTCTTGGGATGAAAAGCCAATGTAACATGAGCATCTCACAATGAGGTGAGAGATAAATGTCACGAATTCTACGTCAATAAGAGAAGAGATGGTCTTGGGCTATAAAATTACAGATTTGCCTCTACCTCATAAGCATGTGTTTTGGTTGAAAATGGGTACCGGTGACACTCTTTTCTGTTTCAAGATTTAAGGTGGCGTGTCTAAAATTAACGGTAATCGAATAGCAAACTAGGTGTTGCAAATTACTGATTCTATCAATCTTCTTCCTGTTCTCGGCTTTTGGAAATTTTGCATCTTTTAGATTCAGGTAGAGACTTTCTGAGCTTTTTCTTTTACATGAAAAAGCAAACTATATATTGGCATTTCATCGAACAAATAGGCACAGAGTGAACCGAATTCGTGATTTATGAGATAACATGACAATGAGAAGATTCGTCTGGACCAATGGGTGGATTTCAAGTATCATAATTCTAACTCGCAAGAACTAGCACTAGAGAGAAGAAAATGGGTCATAAGAACTGCTGCAAAGATAAGAAAAGACAACGGGGTTAGTGTAGATTCACTTTCTCTATCCTAATTAACCTTTTAATTTAAGGTTGAACCTCGCAAATTAAAAGGACAACTATTACCATATTATAGTCTAGTACCACATATTTGGGTAGAGTTGGATGAATTTGTCTTCAAATTCAAGTTATTTCGAGTTTGAATATACTTCAATTTGAAATTGTTTTGAATTCAAATAATTTCATATATATAGATATTTTTAAATTCAAAACATTTTAAGTTGAAATTAATATTTCAAATTTAAATCATTTCAAATTTGAAAAAATTATAATTATCGTAAAACTCAATGTATTTATTTATACCTAAAACTTCAGTTAATATGTAAGCAAAAGACATCATTTTTCTTCAAAGATAGAAGAAAATATCGTTAAATTCCATAAAACAGTAAAACAAATTTTACTCCTTATATCAGACCAAAACAACATTCAATCTGCAACACATAAATTTCACACAATTATTTATTACTCATCCTCACCATGTCGCTTTGGCTCAGAAAATGTCACAATGACTTAAGAAGATCTAGGAAACTCCATTAAGCCTCCTTCTGACTTTCCCTATCAACACAACCATGCCAAATGATGCTCATTTTCTCCAGCACATGTCCGTTTTTCAGAAAAACCTGATCAGCTCATGCTCTTCGTCAGTATCGTCTATTTCAATTAGCTTAACCATCTTGAGATGACATGTCAAACATGCAATATCCTCATCCTGTATCTTAGCTTCAAATCGAACTCTAATATCTCCAACAAATCAGAAGCAAGAAGACAGCGTGGCAAGGAAACGGGTTTCTTAGTTTCGGAAGTGACATTTAAATGAAGTTCTTGCACATGTTTTTGGGCCACGATAGCTATCCATCTGTGTAATGAATGATTATCGTCATTATTGGAGCATGAGAGACGAAAGCTTTGGGTGCTAACAGATTTATCGTGGGTCATTAAAACCCAGTTGATAAAATCCTTGTGTTTCTAATATGCTCTGGTAAAACAGAACTCTCTATGTAATGGGCTTAACCAATTAGATTTATAATCAAAATTTAAGTGAGGCATCGAAGTCCACAAATACCTCCTGTCTGTTGACACAGCGCTTGCTCTGATCACGTCTATGGTTTCCAGGTATGAGAAAATATGATGAACTAAGGGTTCTGGCAGATCTCGGAATTTGTTGCGGTCAGCTGTAGCATCAACATCGGTTGTCTTCTCTCTCGGCATGAAAGCGATATCCTCCAGAAATTTGTCTCATTTACCTAAACCCATGAACGTGGATGAAATTATAAACCCACACCATGCCTTGGACGGCAGCCCATTATTCAATCAGTTATGGATTAAGGCCACAATTGGGAGATAAGAACAGCCATCCTGTTTTAGTTTGTAGACATAATGTTGTGTATTTACATGATCAACGTTCTTCGTCTTCCTATATGAACTTCATATGGCGTTAACCCAAAAAGAAAAAAAAAAACTCCGAAGCCCTATTGTGACAAATTGCAGGTGATTTTCAGAAATCAGAAATAAAAAAATATAGTGCACAAAGTCAGTTGAAAAACATAAAGAGGAAAAACTATGTAAAATTAAATTTTTAGTTTTTTTTTTTTTTTTTTTACATTTTTCAGGTTGTTTTCATGATTTTCAAATTAGATTGGAATACATATTTCAGAATCTAACTTTATTATATGTAATGAAAAACTTGTGTATCTATAACCCTCTATTATCCATTTTGAACTTCCAAATAACTATTAATTCCAAGGCTTTGATTTATTAGTTCTTTTTAAAAAACTTACTAAATTATATTATAAAAATAATTCTTTAATATTCATAAAATTTTAACTTATGTACTTCGTATAAAAAAGAAAAAAACTATGGACTTTGGGCCATGGCCACATTTGTTTTGGGCTAATAAAGACCAAGTAATCATATAAGCGAATTCATATACCCAATTTTGCCTTAAGGCAAGCACGACATTAGGGTTGAGCTAGATATGTCGGTTCAACGTTTTTATATATTAAAGACCCACCCAAAGCCCATTTTCTTTACAACCCAATTTTGAACTGAAATCGAAAGAAAACCCGTACAATTCTTTCCTTGCTTCTGCTCTTTCCATCTTTACCATTGAATGTTGATTTTTATGCCAAAATTTGCTTATTTTAAGTTTTAAACATTGAGGATGGATCAATTTTGATATGGCCACAATTTGCTTTTGGATTTGAAGATGGATCTTTTCAAGTTCTCAAGTACGAGCAATCCCCATGGTGCTAAAACATGAGTCCTGAGTACCTGTTGTATACTTGTTTCACCTCTTTTCTGAATGACTTTATCTTCAGATAGGTATGCAAGTGCTTCTTATATGATTCTAAAGTCTCTTATACAGAAGTATTTTATATTACTCCCCAGACAGGAATTACCTTTAGGTATTTTATATTACACCTAGACATACTGGTCGGAATCTTATGTATCCATTATTCTTCATATAAAGATGGAAATAGCTATCAAATTTGATGGCAATAATGTAAATAATGCCTATATTTATCATCAATGATAAAAGAAAAAATCAGTGCTAAATTCCACAAAATAAGGAAATGAAGTAACTATTGTAAAACAACTCTACTTTCTTGTTATCAGACGAAAAAGACACTCAATTAGTTACAGATAATTTTACACAATTATTCATAACTCATCACAGCCAAATTGCTTTAGCTCAGAGAATGTGATGGTGACATATGAAGAAGATCTAGGAAACTTCATTACCTCCTGGATAGCCGCCCTTTGACTTTCCCGCTGGACACCGCTATGCCAAATGATGATCATTTTCTCCAGCACATGACCATGCTTCAGAAAAAAACCGATTATCTCAAGCTCATAGTCGGTACTGTCAACTTCAATTAGCTTAACCATCTTGAGATGACATGTTAAACATGCAATAGCCTCGTCTGGTATCTTCCATTCATAATCGTATTCGCACTATTAAGCATAGAAGTAAAGATGGCAACATTTGTAGACAAAACAAATAAAAAAAAATCAAATCAAAGAACAAAAAGGTTAGGAAAATGAAAAAGAAAAAGACAGCAAATGGAGTAGTAATAATGTAGAGATATCCTTCAATTCAGAGATCAAATTTTACCATTTCTTCATCGATATGTATTGAAAGAAGCTGTAGGTTGGGAGCACAATTCAACAAGTAGATTATTGATTGTAAGTAGCATTTTTCCATGCCAGTGGACACTCTTAGGGACTTCAAATTATAAAAGATAGTGGAGAAGCACCCTGGTTTAGCAGCTGCAGGAGAAATATACTGTAGCAACAACAAGAAGAAAGAATGAGGAATGATAACTGCTTTAGTTATATAGAAATATCAATCATAAATTCGACATCTGGTTTTACTTCATTTCCTATTCATAAATGTATCTTGCTTACACTTAGGTCTCCCATTTCCCTACCAATGAATTTCTTCATGACAAACTAGATTCAGCTATTTTCAGTGCAAAAAACAGATTAAAAACATATTCATGACTATGAAATCTAGAACATAAGACCTTGTTCTATGTCAAATTAGTACATCCATTTAAATATTAAAGACTGCACCTTTGCATATTATACATTTAATCACACTTGATATTTGTATATTAACATAATCAATAGGACAAATATTTTGCCAATTTGGAATTTAGCATGTTCATTTGAGTTTTCCAAATGCCTAGTCGATTTAACTCACTCACACAAACGCAAGAACAATTGAAATCGTACATTTTGAAATAACATCAATCCATACCTCCAAAATGCTTATGCGTAGTTTCAAAGCCTCTACATGGCAAACCCCTCCGAGAATCTTCAACACAAAATTAGCAAACTCTTCATTTAGTTCTGGACGATCATACGAGAAGGCAAAAAGGATGGCTGTTTGCAGAAAAGAAGGGTATTTGTCCCAAGAGAGGCTCTGCACAAATGGACCTGACAAATCAAAATACAAAAGATTTGGACAAGCAATTTTGAGCTCACACTTACTTAAACCTTCATCAAAAGGAATGTCACAACCATCACCATCAATAACCAATTTCCTTAGATTCCTTAAAGAAATATCAAGAACCTTAAAATCATGGAACACACACCGTTCCAAACTCAAATTTTCAAGCAGATGACAACTTGAAATAAAATTTTGAAACAAATTCTGATCCAACAGCTGAGTGTTCACCAGTCGAAGGGACTTTAATCCACTAAAACCCGCATAGCTAGGAATCTTAAGAACACATAACCGCAAATCTAACTCAAATACCTCTAACGAATCAGAAGCAAGAAGACAACGGGGCAAGGCAAAGGGTTTCTCACTGTCAGAAGTGATAATTAAATAAAGCTCTCGCACATGTTTCTGGGCCAGGATATTGACCCATCTGTATAATGAATGATCATCGTCATTATTCAAGCAAAAGAGACGAAAGCTTTGGATGCTAACAGATTTGTCGTGGGCCATTAAAACCCAGTTGATAAGATCCTTGAATTTCTCATAAACTCTGGTAAGAGATAATTCTTTACGTAATGGGTTTAGCCAAAAATCTGTATAAGAAAAGTTTAGGTGAGGCATCGAAGCCCACAAATACCTCCAGTTCGTTGACACGGCGCTTGCTCTGATCACATCTATGGTTTCCATGAATGAGAATATGCGATGAACTACTTGTTATGGCAGATCACTGAATCTGCTGCTGTTAACTGTAGCATCAACACCGTTGGATGGTTTTGGGCGTTTACGCAGAGGGCCAATTGGTTCCATAGAGGATCAATAGACGGGAACTTGAAAAGCTACTGAGCTTTCAAGGGTGATAGTAAAACAATGCAGAGTAAAGTATTGGTTTCGGGGTTTTAGGATAAAGAAAATGATTTGGGTTTTGGCGCCAACTGATATCGTCTTTCCCTCCAATTTCTCTGACTTTGGTTGCAATGAACAAAGCTTACGAGTTAAAGAGAGCCTTGGCGGTTGGCAGCAGCCAGAAGAGCGTCGTTCCCTACAATTTCTCCCCGCTAAAGAGCGGCTTCCCGCAAGGATTTTATGCGCCCTTTACCTTGGCCCTTAAATCGCTAAAACGTGGATGGAAGTGAAACTACAGACCCGGTCCTACCCGATGCTCCAGGCCATACCCCATTATTTAATAAGTTAAGGCCCAAATTTGATGAAGACAAATGTGACAGTAGGTTTTTTTGGGAGTGGATGATTTTTTTTTTTTTAACATGTGTTTTATAAATAATAAATATACTTAAATTTATTTTAATTTTTAAGTTAATTTCTTAATTGAGTTTGTGTCACGACTAACTCAATTAAACATTTTATTTTATTTTATATGTAGTATCCCTATGCATCCATTTTATGTAGGTGAAATATATAACAAATTTGATAGTTAAGGTAAATATTAAAAAATAATATATAGTTATCTTGATGAAATTTTGGTGAAAATTTTTGGGATCACTACACATATTGGTTTTCAAAATAGATAAGAATTAAGTAGAGTGGCCTTTTCAGTCTTTTTCAACAAATGGATATTAATATGATCCTATTAATAAATACTATATATTGTTAATTTTATAATCTAGGCTTTCATATACTTTCCTTAATCTATATTATATGATATAAATATAATACAGATTACGTCCATATAAAAAATTACTAACAAACTAGATAATTAATAAACCAATAAATTTAATATAAAATGTGATCAAATTTAAACATTAAATCTTTAATCAATTTAAGACATATTCTACATAATTAGTAATCCAATCCATAGCTATGGATGTTTCCTTTTGGCTGCGAAAAACATCATTAGAAAAAATTGCACCCTTTTTCATTGTCATAAAGTTTTTTTTTATTGTTACTCAGTAAAATTATTTTTACTTTTATGAGTCAGTAATTCAAAATTCTCTTTACACGAGTTAATTATAATGTCAGTTGAAGAATATAAAAGGAAGAGAAAACTATGTAAAAAAAATGGATTTTTTAAAAAATAATTTTGGCAATTTTAAGCTTCCAATATTTATTTTTTTCTAGTTTCTTCAATTACAGGTTTGATTTATTAGATTTTATTTAAAATTATTAAATTATAAAATAAAAAATTACTTTTTTAACATTCATATAGATTTTATTGGTAAAATAAAAACATTCATAGAATATATATTTTTGGATATTTATATAAATTGGGCATATTTAATTTAGATCAAAATAAAAAAGAGAGACTTACCCATTTTGGGCCAAGGATAGTATATTTGGGCTCAGAAAGCCCAATTATCCAAGACCAAAATTTGCGTTAACATAAAGCTAACCTGTTTTAGGGCTGAGCTGGATAAATCGGTTAAAATGTTACTAAATATTTAACACCCATTCTCGGTGCTACCTAAATTTAAAACCGAAAACAAAAGAAAACTGCTAAAATTCTTCCCTCACATTTTCGCTCTTCTTTTGTCCTTCGAGATTCCTTCCAACTTTCTTCATCTTTGCGTTTGAATGTCGATGCAGTGATGAATTAATCGTTTCTTTATCACTTCTTTAAGAGTGGATGAATTGTTGATGCAGTGATATTTCACTCATAGATAAAATATATCCATCCGTAAACCAGAAAAGATTAAAAAAAAAAAAAAATGGTATATCGCATGTATCTAAAACCACGCCACGCAGCAAGCAAAGCAAAGGCTGAGATGTAAGGCAAAAGATAGGACATAGTGGTAATTTCGTTGGAACTTTATCTTCAAAAAAACAAAAAGAAAAAGCTCTGTAACCAAAAACGGCCACCTCACTCTGCAATCTCTTAAACCCTAGCCAAACAAGTATGCTTCTCCAGCCTTTGAATCACCGGGTTTCTATCTCATCAACCTCTTCTTACTCTCGGGAACTCCCATGCCAGATTCCCCAGTTTATCCTTTTCAAAACCCAAACTTACCAGAAGCTCCCAATCACGTGCTCCATGTCACAAATCCATAGCTATGGAACCGTGGACTATGAAAGAAGACGCATGATCAAATGGAACGCTATATACAAGAAAATATCGTTCATGGAGAACCCTGAATTGGGTTCTGCCACTGTACTGAATGACTGGGAAAAAGGAGGCAGGAGGCTCACTAAATGGGAGCTTTGTAGGGTTGTTAAGGAGTTGCGGAAGTACAAGCGTTACAAGCAAGCTCTCGAGGTAAACCCCAAAAAAGTGAATTTTATGTTTTCTTTGGTGTTTCTGGTGTGTTTGATTTCTCGGTATTTGCTATCTCTTGCAGATTTTGATTGATTGACTCTATAAATTACTTAATAACTACTGGGAAATCAGGTTCTTGACTAACTTTTGACGCTTTGGCTTTTTGAGTTTCCTCTGATTAATGAGTATTTGTTATTCTTAGTAAAAGTTCATTACTTTGTTGGTCGCTTCATAGACATATGTACATTTGGGCTTGAACGTAATGGTCTTTTTGAAAGTATTTGCATGCCTCAAGGATCCTAATAACCCGTGAAAACCCATAGACAATAAATGCGGATCATTTTTTTCTCATTCTCTGCGATGAGTCACCTGAACTGAAAGTCTTGCCTCAGATTATGAATTTGCAGGTAGGAATAGCTACTATGGTAAGTTACTATTGATGAATGCTCTATGAAGTTGAGATAAAAATATGTTAGGTTTAAGTAGGACAAAAGAAAAATTTACAGTTGATGCACAAGGTTCTTTTCGGCATACTCTTAGGCCTAGTTTAGCATTACTGTTGCATTTGGAAAAAGCTTGGTTTGGAAAAAATGCGTTTGAAAAGTGTTGTAAAAAATTGCTGTGAAAAATTATGGTTTAAGATTTATGAGTATTTGGCATTGTTATGAAAATTTGCTTTGAAAATTAAAATATCTAAAGAGGAAATGATGTTGGAAAGAAAAAGTAGGTTTTTTTGTCAAAAATAAATAATGGAGTAGGTATTTGGTCATTTTATCTCCAAATCATAAATTCCAAATTGCGATTGTACCACCCAATTAGTTTTTGTGGTTGGCTCACTTTTAGCAGTCAAAAAGTGCTTTAACTCAAACTATAGTGTGTTTAGCATTGCATTTGCATTCAAAATCTGCGTTTTAGAATCCAAAAGCAGTGCTAAACGAGGCCTTAGAGTCCTCCACAAGAAGTTGAGGAAGCTATCTCAATTAACAAGGGTAGTGCCTAACCTTTAACCTGAAAGATAAACTAGAAACAGAATTATTGGGAGTGATTATTTGTTTCTGCTTATAAAGCAAAAGCATAAGATAATAGTGGAAATGGGACAGTTATTATTCAATTTATCTATCTCAATTAACAAGGGTGGTGCCCAACATTTAACCTGAAAGATAAACTGGAAACAGAATTATTGGGAGTGATTATTTGTTTCTGCTTATAAAGCAAAATTATAAGATAATTGTGGAAATGGGACAGTTATTATTCAGTTTATCAATGGCATAGAATTTATTGTTTTCCCATGTATTAGCACATTTTGGGTGATATTTTCCGGATGCTGGGAGTAAGAAAGATTGTAAATTTGTCCTAAAAATAAGGCTAAATAGCATGATGTTATACATTTAGTGGAGCCCACTTAGTGGGAAAAGGCTTAGTTTTTTAGTGATCAATGTAGTGGATGGCCCCATAAAATTGTCAATTTTTAGGGAAGTTTATACTGTTTACTGTCTTTGTTCAGTAGAGTTGTTGATATCTTGCATCAGGCATTTTTTCAACTTTTCAGACATTGTGCAGGTGTATGAGTGGATGAACAATAGAGGAGAGAGGTTTAGATTTTCTTCTAGTGATGCTGCAATTCAGTTAGACCTTATTGCTAAGGTGCGCGGAGTTTCAAGTGCTGAAGATTTCTTCCTTCAACTCCCTGATACTTTGAAGGACAAGAGAATCTATGGAGCTCTTCTGAATGCCTATGTGCGGGCTAAATTGCGAGATAAGGCTGAATCTTTAATTGACAATATGAGGAATAAAAGATATACCTTGGATCCCCTTCCATTTAATGTGATGATGACTCTATATATGAACCTCAAGGAGTATGATAAAGTTGAGTCCATGGTTTCAGAAATGATGGAAAAAAACATTCGTCTGGATTTATATTCCTACAACATCTGGTTGTCAACTTGTGGATCCCAAGGATCTGCAGAAAAGATGGAACAAGTATATGAGCAGATGAAACAAGATCGAAGCATCATTCCAAACTGGACAACATTTAGCACAATGGCATCAATGTACATTAAGATGGGACTGCCTGAAAAAGCTGAAGAATGCTTGAGAAATTTGGAGGGTAGGATCACTGATCGGAATCGTATACCATATCATTATCTTATTAGTCTTTATGGTGCTGTTGGTAACAGGGAGGAGGTTTATCGGGTATGGAAGGTTTACAAATCTATTTTCCCAAGAATTCCAAATTTGGGTTTTAATGCCATGATCTCATCTCTGGTTATGGCTGGTGATATTCAAGGGGCAGAAAAGATTTATGAAGATTGGCTGTCAGTTAAAACATCTTATGACCCTAGATTAGCAAATGTTCTCATGGGTTGGTATGTTAAAGAAGGAAAATTGGATAAAGCTGAGAGTTTTTTCAATCACATGGCTGAAATAGGAGGAAAGCCAAATTCAAGCTCATGGGAGATTCTTGCTGAAGGGCATATTCTAGAGAAGAGAATTGATGAGGCTCTATCTTGCCTGAAGGAAGCTTTTGCAACTGAAGGCTCAAGAAATTGGAGGCCAAAGCCCAAAAATGTTTCTGCTTTCTTTAATCTGTGTGAGGAAAAAGCGGACATGGCAAGCAGGGAGGTTTTGGTGAGATTGTTACGGGAGTCAGGATATCTCAAAAATGAAGCTTATGCATTGCTTGTTGGCTTATCTGAAGGAGCTGTTGGTGAAAGTGAATTGCCGATGGACAAAGATAGAAACCGCAGTTATAGTTCCAGTGATGAGAATCAGGATGATGATTCTGAGTTTCTTCTCAACCAACTGCAGGGCAGTGTGTGATGACCCTTATTTGAATCTTAGGTGGTGGGAAAATTTTTATCTATCTTTTAATGGAAGTCATGAGTTAGGATATCCACTGATGGCTCGGATGGTGGACTTAATAGTTATTTGTCCATGCATTTGTGCGACCTTTTCTATTTCTCCTGTTCTGGATGTATGAATTTCCATTTTAAGCCAGTGTAGCTGCTTAAGTGGCAGAGTTTTATCCCATTTGTGGAAGCGATACAGATAATTTACCATGTTCATGATTTAGGAATCCAGATATTAATCAGATTGAAATTCTACATATATTATTATCAGATCAGCTCGTAAATGAGAAATACAATCCTTTAATTTCAAGAGACTAACTCATAGTCAGGAATTTATTTGGACAAACAAACTTCATGTAGTCTATTTTTCCTGCTAGAAAATGTGTCCACAGATTTAGAATATCATGCCTTGTAGCTTTGGGGACACAACATAAGTGCCGCGCTGCATCCTAGAGGAATTGACTGAAAAAGCTTTGCATTTACATGGCATCAATGAGGCAAGATCTGAATGAAGTCTCATGATGAGCTTATAAATGAAAGTGCTTCATTATCCGTTCATGGGGATATTATTCCCCCGTTTACCAGGAAATGCAACATATCCTCCAGCTTCTCATGGTTTTCATTCAGTATATGGAAGGTGATTGAACCTATAAATAAAGTTTCAAAGTTATACTTGTGTTGGTCCCATTGCATGCATTATTTTTACGTCATTTATCACTTAAAATTTGTTCTGGGGAAAAAAATGAGTTTCAGGATTTTGGATTAGTGATTGTAAGACTTTTTGACAAAGAATGGTAACTACAGAGAATCACGATTTCCCCGCTACAAAATTTGTCCTTTTGAATTCCATTTACTTGCTTATCAGCTCATGTGGTTGAATTTAATCCCTCTCACTGGCTGTGCGACTATTATCTCATTGCTCCTATCGACTCCCACATGCTTCACATCCTTCTTTTCTTGCATAATCGGCTACCCCTACAACTAAAAGAATTCCAATACACCAATTTCCAATCTTAAGAATAAACCACTATAATACAAATGCAGCCTGTCGGTGACACTAACAATTCCCTTAAGAATTTCCTAAAGAAAAGAAATAAAATAAAAATGCTCCAGGCCCCAATAGCATGTGCTTCACGAGTATTGAACATTTCGGGACGAATTTTCATTTGTAGATAGAGCAGATATCCAAAATCTTCGGCTTGTTAATGCCTCAATAATTAAAAGCTCAAAATGAGCCTATAAGGGCCTGAAGAAAGGGTTGGCTACATGTGGCCCACCACCATGCATTAAGGACGGTAACATGCGGGCTGGCCTATTTTTCTTGTACTAATTTTAATTTTTAGTTTTTACGGAGAAAATTATAAAGTAGGAAATTAGATTAGTTTTTTGTGGTACCAAATTGTGTGGGTCGCAGTATGCATGGAGAGGGCTCACATGGACAGCACATGGTTTGGGAAGGCACCCGCAGCAGACACCCTTTTGAGATTTAATCCCAATAAAGTCGAGAATTTTTTGGAGTTAACCAGACATGCTTTCCTCTTGTTTCACTCCAAGAAAAACATGCTTCCAGCTTGGCACTGGCTTACTGACTGCTAAAGAAATTTTTATTTTGATCTCAATATGCAAAGTTGATTGAGATCATCATTTTTAAATGAAATTAATACGGTACTACTTGTTACACAATAAAGAAGATTGAAGTAACGGATATGGTAAATTTAGGCGTAAATCCAAAAGTTTTGAATTGGACTTTTCATTTGGATGTATCTATCACATCATTTAAAAGCCCATACAAGTAAAAGTAATTATTTTGTTGTACAGTAAAAGTGCTAACCTAGATGTAGGGTCAAATTATTTTATTATCTGCAGCTTGACCATTGATGAGAAGTGCGGGTAAAGGACAAAGTTCATGGTCTAAAATGCATGTATCCTCGATGAGGTTAGGGAGGGTCCATACAAGTTAATATATTGCTGTATGAGTCTGAAATGCATGTATCATGGATGAGCTTAGAAAGGGTCCATACAAGTTAATATGTTACCGTATAAGTCAAGTCTTCTCTCTATTAATTCTTTCTAAAACAGTGTTAATATCTTTACACATGTGATCTTCTTGTGTAAAGCTGTAGAAGTGCAGATGCTGGCTGTCTTGGATTAAGAAATGAAACATGATTTAAAAATGTAATTGTTGTACTACTATTTCAGAATGCTTGGTGGGCAATTGGGTTGGATATAGGTCAAAATCAAAATTAAAGACTGAATTGGCCGAGTTTGCAAGTTTCAATGCTTCTTTGATTATTATCACCTACTACAGTTTTTTGATGTGTGAAAAATCAGGCTACGCTCAATGAAGATTCATGGTGACTCATCACAGGAGATGGTCTTTCAGAAGTAAAAAAATGTGACAGGCCCGTGAATCCGAACACGAGCAGACAAGCAGACCCATGGGTCTTCTTCATGTTCAAAGTTCTTCTTTGTTGTTGAGCTTTGTAGACAAATTGATGCAAGATAGATCCCTCATCTAGTAGTTTCCTAGCATATCTTGAATGCAGCCCAACACCTTGAAATCTATACTTTTGTTATCTGTTATAGGCAAAACAGAGCAGCATTTAGCATACACTGCAAGGGCAAGGCTATAGCTTCGGACTAGCAGAACAAATACATGTTACCTATAAGAACAAACATTACAAAACCAATTGTGTAGATTTAGGACATATGCAAGTATTTCCGAAAAATAGGATCCACAAATTACAGTCAACATTTTCTCACATGTAATCACTTGATGGGCATGGTATACCATCAGCGCAACAACAGTAGCCACAAGTTAATCACTGGAAAACCTCAATCTCCGTTCAGGAAAATGACTTCAATCCACAAATGAACCACCTTTTAATTTGTTCCCTCTTACACGAGTTTGAAATTTTAATAATCATAACCCCAACTCAAAATCCCACACCGTTGTGTCAAAAAAAAACCATATAAACCCCAAAATGGGGACATCCAAGTCATAATTCAAATTCCTGACGCCACTCTTTGCATTGAAAATAGTTAAATACCTACTCTTTAACGGCCACAAGTAAAAGTGTAAAACCATATATACCTCAATAAGAGCCGCAAAAAAACACATTCAACACTTCTGGTCCAAAAATCTTTTCAGCTATGGCAGAGCCAGAGAACCCAAATGTGATGCCAAATCTCATAACATTTCTGGCTTCTCCTCTCCAAAAAGTGGCTGAATCCAACGATGTGAACTGTCGGTTTCAGCCTCAGAAAATTTCTGTGTTTCATGGCCTAACTCGGCCAACTATCTCAATTCAAAACCACCTGGACAGAATTTATAAGTATGCAAATTGTAGCCCGTCTTGCTTTATTGTTGCCTACGTTTATCTTGATCGATTTGCTCAAAGGCAACCCTCGTTGCCCATCAATTCTTTCAACGTGCATCGGCTGCTTATTACAAGTGTCATGGTTGCTGCAAAGTTCATGGATGATATGTAAGTTCTTAATTCCATGAGCAATGCATACAGAATTCTTGGATTTTATATCTGGGTTTTGAGGTTTTCTTTCGATTTCCTTTCATGGGATTCGCTTTTGCTTAGTGAAGCTTGAAAATTTAAAATTACTTGTCTTTGTTATACCCTGAATTCTGACTGGAACTTGAGGTTTGATTTTCCATCTCTTTTTTAGAATTTAGATTGTAATCAGCATTTGAAAGTCACTAAATTTGCTAGAAAAATATATTATTTCATAGTAATTCCAACTAACTGTAGGGCATGTGAATCCAGGGTTTAATGGGCTTTTTTTCTTTTCTTTTCTTTTTTATCATGAGCTTTAAATATTCTGAAAAATGTAAATTAAGGAAATGGATAAATACATTTAATATTCTGACTTTAGTTTCTGATATTTTGGAACTATATCTTCAGGTATTACAACAATGCTTACTATGCAAAAGTAGGAGGAATCAGCACGACAGAAATGAACTTCCTTGAAGTGGATTTTCTATTTGGGATGGGTTTCCACTTAAATGTAACCCCAAATACCTTTCACACTTACTACTCCTACCTGCAAAGAGAGATGGTGTTGCAACCCCCACCAAATATTGCAGAATACCCTTTAAGTTTTGAGAGCTCACTAAAAGTCCATTTGTGTTTCAATGAAGACGAACCATCTCATCAAAAGCAACAACTAGCTGTTTAAGGCCTTTAATGTTAGTTCTGAATGTAGTTAGATACAGAGATAGTGACTTGTTTAAACATTTTGGGCTGGCAGAATTGAACGCTTGACTTGTGCACTAAAAACCCACATGTTTTCTCTTGGATCTCAAATTGATTATGTTTGTACAGATGGTAGTTTCTTCTTTACAGTCTGGCTATCAAAAGTCTCATTGTCAATTAATTTCTCCAATTTCTTTTGGTTCATGATTGTGTTCTTTTAGTGGTGAGGAAAATTCTAATACCTGTAACATCTAATAATATGGGAATGTACTACTTGAAGTCAAACAGCTTGGAATATATCAAATAAAAACAATGTAAACTTATGTATCAGAGTCTCTAATGGGAGTTTCCCTTTCATTGATGCTCTTTTTTCCTCCCAATTCTTGTTAGGTCGTACTTTGGGTTTATACCTGTTTTATCCACGCTACTACTCAGAAAACCCTTTTTTCTTTTCCTTTTTTTTTTTTGGGGGGGGGGGGGGTGGTGGAAGGGGGTGCCACTAGAAGTGCAGAGGTGGCGATGTGCTTTTATTTGGACAGCATTTAGGTTGACAGAGATGAAAAAATGAGTGGTGGGTAGGTAGAGCCTAGAGCTAGTAATTCGTATTTTTATGTCATGTTTTATATCATATTTAACACATATAATAAGATAAATTATTAAAATATAAACATGATATAAATTATAAAATATATTTAAATATTAAATACAAATATTACATATTTAATATATATTACATACAACACAACATAATTAACACATATATAATTAATTTATTTAAATATGACACAAATAAATACGAATAATACGAATATACATGAATTGACATAATTAACACATATATACATAAATAGGCATAAGTAATACGAATATATATAAAAACATGACTAAAATAATAAATAACTATAAATTATCTATCATTTATAATTTAATAAATTTCGTATATTAATAGTATAAAAAAATACTTACATATTAAAACAAATTTAATACTCATTTAATATATATTTAATATATATATTTAAATATATTACAAAACTATATTAATTTTTATTATCAAATTCAAAATGAAAAACTATTAAAGATTAAAAAATAAAATAATAAAGTATAGAATAATATTAATATTTTATTATATTTATATTATTAATATAAAAAATAATTTTATAATAATTATTAAATGAATATCATAATTAAATATTTAAAATAATTTTTATATAAAATTAATTATCTAATTAAGTATCATAATTAAAATATTAAAAATTAAAATAATTTTTATACATTTATATTAAATTAAAATAAATAAAATGTATACTCATACAATAAAATTAAATTAAACTTATTATTTATATCATATCACGTATTTAAATGAATTAATTATATACTATATGAGTTATATCATATCAAAATTAATGTCATCGTGAATAAATATTAAATATATTTTTTAAAAATATATATAATTTTTTATATTATTTTTATATTATATCATTGTATCATGATTAAAATTACTAAATTTAAAGACTCGGACGTGGGGATAGAATTAGGTGAGGTGTCAAAACAATTTTGTACAGAAACAATGCTGTTTTCTTGTGGTTATTTTCGGTAAAGATGACAAATTGCTCAATTTGACACTTTTGTCTATATTCTTTTGGAGGGGACATGGGACATGTACAACCATAGGCAACTACTCTGCTGGAGTAGAAATGATCCTGCAAATTTTAGCTTAGGACATAGATTCACAGGCAACTACTATTAGCCCCAGGTAATGTCTACTTTGGATGCTATATATAATTAAGTGAAAAGAAAAATTATCGATCGAGCAACCTGTAAAATAGCAAGAGTCATCTCTGCATCCAAGATTTTTCTCATTTGGTTGAGATAAAGTGAAGAGAACCTCATCTAAGTATGGTCAAATATTTGGAACAGTTGAACAGGCTGTAGGGTATAGTACTTGATACTTTTGACTCTAGACGTCCAATGGTTGTTAAACTAGAAGAGCACAAAAACAGAGCCGCATTCAATATTAATTAGCCCAAGCTACGACCACATTCATTCACTCTAATAGTTCTTGGGCCCCAGCTCAGGAACCCTATAAGCAAGCCCAACTAGTCTCGAGCAAGAATAGCCTTATGCGCCTATCTATTATTACATTATTTAGAGCAGATTACCAATTCAAATGTTCATTCCATTTATCTATGACTATAATACTAACATCAACAGACATCAAGCTTAGAGAAATATATATATCTATAATTAGATCATTCTAACATCTTAAAAATAGCAGACCATTCCTCCATTATTATCGAAATTTGTACTAGGTGGAGAATTTGAGTCTGCACCTGTTGAACATCTGAATGAAACAGCGGGTTAAAAAAGGCACAGCGGCTGCCATCAAGATGAACCGAAACCTGACAGATTCACGAGGCGTGATCGCGAAAACTGATGATGCGTAGGTTACAATCATGGAACCCGTGGCTACCCATATCTCAAAATGAAAAGGGAACTTATATGTTAGAGAAATGATAACAAGAATGGATGAGGAAAGAGCCAGAGTGTTAGAGATCAAGAAAACATAGAAGGCCTGCTTTTGAGCGGCGTATATGGCCCTGCCTGCAACATGGCCATCTTCATTGTCTTGCCAAACTCCGCCAGGAGGGTTGACACCCGCTTGGAAAGTCACGGCGGAGATCAGAGCAGCGACTACCAAGAGAACGTTGCGAGCATCGCTAGGAGAGTCCCGCCCTTCTTCGTACTGGAAATATTTAAACCAACTTTTGCCTGTGCTCAAAGAAGGGCTAGCCATTTTTCTGATTTTGCAATAACAATGTTCTTTGAGTTTGTTCATTGCCTAACTTTTTGTTCATTAAAGGAGTTAAATATAGAAGTGGGTAATTGATATATGATGGTTGATGAAATTATTGAAGTAATTAGGGATCGATCAGAGAGACAAAAATGGAATGTTATCAAGAGAGTTATTAGCCATATCAATTAAATTAATTACTCTAAATTATGTGATTAGGTGTCAAGAAAAATGAAGAAAATTCAGGGAAATGAATCAAGAAAATTTATCCTATAGACCAATATTGAAGATAATTTTAAATTATATTATATTTCCTTCTAGTTCTTGTATATTCTCTATCTCTTGATAAATTTGATTTAGAAATAAATTTTCCTTTCTCACCGTTTGGGGCTATATGTTAAGAAATATTTTTGTTCGAGTAATAATATTTTATTTTCTCCAGATTTTAGCCTTGCTCTTGATTTATATATGTGAAAGAAAATTTTGCAAAGTAGCACCGACTTTCGATGCGATCAAAATGACCGGATAAAAGATACTGTAACAATTATGCAGATATCTTAAGCACATAATGCCCAAAAAAAAAAAAAAAAACCAATATATTGAGCACCCTCAATAAAAAATTGAAATATCCAAAGCACACGGTACTTTATTTATTAATTTATATATAACAAAATACACACTTTATCTTCTCAATTAATTATTTTAAAAACTTAATTTTTACATAACCATAGCCACACATGCTCTAGTAAAACTTAAAAAACAATTATTTTTACTTTTTTTTTTTTTTTACAAAACTATATATATTTGATAATTTCCATTTTTTTAAAGACGTCTAATGTCTTCCTTAATATTTTCTTTTATCTTGTCATAAGAAACCAGCAAACCATATCTCATAACATATATTTATGGAGTTGTTCAGTTTCAAACTTTGTGATTGTCTTCCTAAACGTTCATTTTCTCCATCGAGCTAAGTTTGCACGTGCAGACTTTCGTCTCTCATGGCCTCTGTTGTCTTATTTCTAGGCTTGGCAAACGCCCGGATCAAACATGGGGGCTCTGGTTCCCTGTTTCTCAACTTAACGAATAGCTGGATCAAACAGCGCATTACTAAAGGGGCAGCAGCTATAATCAAGACCAATCGAAACTTCGTGATATCTTCATACTCGTCTCCCGAATCCTCCGGAGTAACAGCGAAAATAGCAGATCCATAAGTTATAATCATTGAAATAGCTGCAACCCGTATTTCAAACTTGAAAGGAAATTTATGCATGAGAGACAGAATAACAAGTACCGCTGCAGAAAAGGCTAGGGTGTTTGATGCCAAGAAAACATAGTAGGCTGATGATTCACAAGCAAAAATAGCTGTGCCTGGTTTATATTCACCCCTTTTACATGATTCTTGCACTGCACGGCTATCCCCAGGAGGGTTAGCCCCAGCTTGGGTCTCATTATCCTCCTGCCATACGCCGCCAGGAGGGTTAACCCCTGCTTGGAAGGTCACAGCAGCTATTAGGGTCGCAACTACTAAGAGAGCATTGCGTGCCTCGGCTCTATTCTTCACTTCATCCTCCTCTGTAGTACCTTCATTGTACTGAAAAAATCGACACCAGTCCTTGAAAGAAGTGCCAACCATTTTCTCTTTGGTTGAAGTACAGAATTTAAAGAGTTGGAAAGGGTTTGCTTTTATTTGGTGATATACGAAGCTTTTGTTTATGGGGATATATAAGGAAGGAAACAAGGAAATTATGGGAGAAAAGAAAGTATTATTCAGATTCGATTCTCAAGAAAAGCTTGGGTTTTGCTGAGTCTTAGTTAAGCTTTTATAATCTCTCGAACCAATAATTGATCACATTTAGTAGTATAATCGATCAAGTTGAGTTGATATAATATTAAATTCGAATTTAATTCAAAATTTAATATAAATTTAATTTAATGTTATTTTTTTAACTCAAATTCGACTTAAAATTAAAATTGAACTACTCAAACTCAATCGATTAAATTATATTAACACATAAAAATAAATTCGATTTTAATATTCGATAAAAATTAAATTATTTATAATCAAACTTGAACTTGAAATCTGAATATTTTATTAATTAAAATAATTAAAATATATTAAAATATAAAATTTTAATTAAATTTATAAATTACTTAAATCAAATATAAAAATATTTAAATTTAATTTGATCTATAAATTTAATTATTTAAATTCAAACTTAATTTAACAATAAATAAATTAAAATTAAATTTTATTCGAACAAAACTCTAATAATTTATAAATACTAATATTTCATTTATACTTCTAATTACAAATTATCAATAACGCGCCAAACTTCAGTGTTCCTTGCCCTTTGCATTACTAATTGTTTGGACAAAATGAAAAGCAGATTCCAATCTAATCGATCTTTCGACCATAACAACGACTGTGATTATGATTACTCTGTTTTTTTTCCAGTCGTCAATATTTTAGGTAATTCCGCCAAAACCTGATAGACCCCTCCACTCGCCACTGCCAAGATATATCTATAAGATTTGTATTTCTCAATTTGTCATCATTATGTTATGGTCAATGTAGTCAACTAGGAAGAAGGCTATAAATCATAATTTTACTTATATACAATGACGGATCATATATATATATATATATTATCAATAATTATCAAAGCAATTTTAAGTATCTCATGTGCAAGCAACTCACCAAAAAATGGACCATAAAAAATCATGCAAACAAAGAGAATCGAATGTTCATAATATTATCAATAATTAGATGGAAGTATAAGTTTCAAGTTAGGGGTTCATTATATATTACATACATATCTATATATATGATGATAGAATATCATAATTAAACATGGCATGAAAGCTTTATATACTAGTAATTTTAATTAATTATATATATCATTATTGATCTATACATTAATTAATCTTACTAATTATTTTATGAATAATTTTAATTTGATTGAAAACAATTCAAAAGCTTTTCAACATAGTCATGCTGTGGAAATAAATACCACTGCATATTAAATTAGAGAAATGTGAAACATGAGTGTAATACTAATGATTAAATTTTAGATTGAAATAATTGAGGAGATGATCATTTTATTATTAAAAGATGCAGGTTAATTTTTAATTTACGATTACTCTAAATATCTCATCTTAAATATATGAATTTTAATTATTAATTAGAGTATAAAAGTATATATAAATTTTCATAATCTTAACTTAAATATTATTTTTCATGAGTTATTTGATTTCATAAAAAATTGCCAGGTTGGTTGGTCGCTTTGATTTCTTCTGTTCTGTTAATAATGTACACGTTTGATCTTATGTCAGCCATGACTTCTCCTTCCGGGACTTCATCTTATGTCAGCAAAGCTATAGCTAGGGTTATTAATATATTATTTCATTATAGGTGTTGTGCTTATTGACTGATAAGGTGCATGTATTTGCTAGCCCAGATTGTCATTGATTTATTTTTTGATACAGTAACAATTATGCAGATACATTAAGCACGTTTGGCAAAAAAATATATGTTAAGCACACTCCCTTTAAAAGAAAATTGAAATATCCAAAGCAGACAGTACTTTATTTATTAATTTGCACATAATAAATTACACACTTTATCTTCTTAATTAATTATTTTACAAACTTAATTTTTACATAAACAAAGCCCACACATGCAACTACTTCATTTTCTGAACGGTTCTTCATTATTACTGACATTAAACTGGCTACACAATTATAGAGATACCACAGTTAAATTGAAATTCAAACAAATAGTCTCTCATTATTTTAATTCCACCTAACAATTAATTCTGATGTAACCGCATGTGTTGATAACTAACAATCCTACCGGTCACTCTCCTCCTTGCGAGGGAAAATACCTGCGGTGATCTATCCTTCCTGTTTTCTGAATACAACGTTGAATAGCTGAATCAAAACCCGTATTATATAAGGCACAGAGACTGCATTTATGACATACCGAAACCTCACAGATTCACGGGGAGTAACAGCAAAAATTGCAGAAGCGTAAGTCACGATCATCGAAATTGTGGCAACAATAACTTCAAGATGGAAAGGAAATCTGTAGACGAGAGAAATGATTGCAAGTATTGAGGCGGAAAGTGCCATAGTATTAGCAATCAAGAAAACATAGTAGGCTGATGACTGAGATGCAAAAATTGCTCTGCCTGCAACATGTCCATTGTCATTCCATTATTAAAAGTTGCACATTGATTTTCAATTTGCGATCACTTTAATTATTCCATCCTAATTATATGGATTTTAATTATTAATAGATATAAATTTTTATGACCTTGACTTAAACGCTATTTTTTATTAATTGTTTTTTTGAGGAAATAATATATATATACGAAGGGAATGATGAGCCTTTATTTTCATAAGGAATTGCTGCGTTGGTGGGTCTCTTTGATTTTTTCTGTCTCGTTAATAACGTGCGTCTTTAATCTTATGTCAGCCATGACCTCTTTTCTCGGAGCTCCATCTTATGTCAGCAAAGCCATTAGGTATAGCCAAAATTATTAATTTATGATTCAATGGTGTCGTGCTCATCTACTAGCAAGGTGCATGCATTTCTTTACTTATTTTGCTGTGATTGATTTAATTTGTTGATTTTTTAAATAGAAAAAGTTAATTTGCTGTCAAAAGATGCCTTAATTGTAAGAACTTGGAAAAAAACAAGTTTAACTACATGTGAAGATACACTATTAATCAAAATTAATTTTGATTTTGATTCATACTTCTCTTCTCTTGTAACTACTTGAGTTAAAGTCAAAAGGAGACTTTTAAAAACTAATTTTAGCCTACTTTCGGTAATTAATAATTTCCTTTCATTTCATTTGTTTAATTTGTTATGAATAAAGTGCCACGCAGTTATTATTATTTGTCTCTTAAAATCGTTTTATTAGAGTGTGTATAGTTAATATTTTTATATTTAGTGATTTTTTTTCATGTTTAATATGAAATTAAAATGCTTTACTTACGCTCTCTTCAAACGGTTGACGTGACACAAAACATGAAGAAAGGAACTTTTAGCAATTTGAGTGGAAATTAGTTAAAAAGTTATAAATAAATAAAGTATTGTAAACATTTATTTATTCAGAATTTTTTTTAAGTTTTTTTTTTTAGACAATTTAAATTGAATCGGGTTTGATAATTAATCAATTTTTTTGGATCAAATTTAAATTTAGTTAATTTGGATTGGAGATTGGATTTAGCCCTTAAATTTGGGTTTTGAAATTTCAAAATAAAAAGTTTGGGAAAAGATTTAGATAAAAATTTTTAAATAAAATTTATGAAATTTTTTAAATAAAATTTATGAAATTTTTTATTAATATTAATTAAATTAAAAGATATTATTTTATAAATCAGAGTATATTTTTAAAAAGTAATAATAAATTTTGATATATTTTTTACATAAATATTTTTAATAAAAACTTTAATAAATTTTTTATCATTAAATAAACATTATACATATTATAAATTTTTTCATTAAATTTTATTAATTTATCAATTTAAAATTTTTATTAAAAATTTTCCAAATTTTACTGAAATTTATTACTTAAAAATTTTCCATGAAGGAAAGGTTGTTTCTCATCTACGGGCGGTTTGTTTCGCAAAAGCAATAGTGAGAATGCTTTGCTGTAATGCATAAAGCCAGTGGTGAAAAAGACAGATTGCTCTGCTGTAACGCGCAAACTATCAAGGAAGCGGGAAATAATAATTAGTTAAAATCATTGAGTAAACAAACCTATTAGCATGTCAGTGCTTAGTTTATTTTCTATGCAGAAGCGGAAGCAACGATTGATGTCGGAATACTTATAGAAATTTCAAAACTGAAAAAAAAAATTTAAAGGTTTATTTTTTGTTTGGAAACTTTCAAAATTTTATTATGACTACGTTTAAAATTTTTAATTTTATGTTGAATATTTATTTAATTATTTATATTAAAAATGATTCATTTAATAATATTAATAATGATACAAGTATATCTTTTTGAAGACGTTGTTAACCATTGTAATAATATAACAATATATTACTTTGAATCTTTGTTTATAATTTTTTTTATGTATTATAAATTAATATTTCCAGAAAAATTCTTAGATTGCTGCAACAAGATGAAGCTTAAATTGAAATGAAGGCTTGAAGCAACTATTTCATCTTCTGAACGGTTCTTCTTTATTACTGACGTTAAACTGGGTACAATTGTAGAGATACCACAGTGAAACTGAAATACAAATAAATACTCTCTCATTGTTTTAATTCTGATGTAACCGGATGTGTTGATAACTAACAATCCTGCCGACCATCCCGTCCTTGCGAGGGAAAATACCGGTGGTGATCTATCCTTCCTGTTTTCTGAATACAACGTTGAAGAGCTGAATCAAAACCCGTATTATAAAAGGCACAGATGCTGCAGTTATGACATACCGATACTTCACAGATTCACGGGGAGTAACAGCAAAAATTGCAGAAGCGTAAGTCACGATCATCGAAATTGTGGCAACAACAACTTCAAGATGGAAAGGAAATCTGTAGGTGAGAGAAATGATTACAAGTATTGAGGCGGAAAGTGCCATAGTATTAGCAATCAAGAAAACATAGTAGGCTGATGACTGAGACGCATAAATAGCTCTGCCAGCAACATGTCCATGGCCATTATCTTGCCACACTCCACCAGGAGGGTTGACCCCAGCTTGAAAGGTCACGGCAGCTATGAGGGTTGCAACTACTAACATAACGTTTCGCACATCGCTTGGCTGGTCTCTGTTTTTTTCATACTGGAAATGCTTGTACCAGCTATTGCCTGTGCTTAATCGGCTAACTATCTTCTTAAGCGATGAGGACATGCTGAATTTTTGCTCTTCGAATGGTATATATTCTCTTTGGTTGAAGCACAAATAGAATTTAACGAGTTGGAAAGGGTTGCGTTTATTTGGATATATGAAACTTTTGTTTATGGGGAAATATAAGAAGAAAACAAGGAAATTAAGGGAGAAAACAAAGTATTAATTAGATTTGATTCTCCAGAAAAGCTTGGGTTTCGCGGAGTCTTAATTCAGCTTTTACAGTGCACGGGTAATTGATCACAGCGCGCCAAACATCAGTGTCCTTTGTATTATTTTTGTTTGGACAAAATTAAAAGTAGATTCATCGATCTTTGGACCATAACAGCCAGGGTGGACCCAAGCGGGCAGGGGCACGGCCCCCAAAAATTTTTTTTACAATGTTCTAAATTAATAATCCAACTTACCAAAATTAATACGCCGTCGGGCCCATTTGTTGTCTGATTTCGTCTTTAAGAACGTGATTACTTTTTTCCTTATTTTATTTTTACAATTGTTGATATTGTTGTTAATTCGGACAAAGCCTGATAGACACGTCCACTTTCCACTACCAAGAGATAATTTATATGATTTGTATTTCTCGATTTGTCATCTTTAGTTTATGGTCAATGTAGTCAACTAAGAATAAGGCTATAAATCATATATACAATGTCTGATCATATATATATTATCAATAATTATTAAAGCATTTTTAAGTATCTCATGTGCAAGCAACTCACTGAAAAATGGACAATAAAAATTCATGCAAACAAAGAGAATCGTATGTACGTAATATTATCAATAATTAGATGGAATTATAATTTTCAAGTGAATATATATATATATGACATGGTATTCTTCTTTAATTTTTTTTTAAATTTTTTTGAGGAAATAATATATATACATATATATATGTAGTGAATGATAAGCCTTTATTTTCATAAGGAATTGCTGGGTTGGTAGGTCTCTTTGATTTCTTCTGTGTCGTTAATAATACACGTGTTTAATCTTATGTCAGCCATGACTTCTCTTGTCGAGCTCCATCTTATGTTAGCAAAGCCACTATCTATAGTCAGGATTATTAATCTATGATTCATTGAAGGTGTTGTGCTTATTGACTGGCAATGTGCATGCTTTTCTTAACTTACCATGCTGTGGTTGATTTAATTTATTGATTTTTTAAATAAAAAAGTTCATTTGCTGTCAAAAGATGACTTGATTATAGGAACTTGGAAACAAAAAAAAGAAGTTTGACTGCATGTGAAGATACACTATTAATCAAACTTAATTTTGATTTTGATTCATACTTCTCTTCTCTTGTGACTACTTGAGTTAAAGCCAAAAGGAGACTTTTAAAACCTAATTTTAGCCTACTTTCGGTAATTAATAATTTCCTTTCACTTCATTTGTTTAATTTGTTGTGGTATGATCAAAGCATGGGGAAAGGAACTTTTAGCAATTTGAGTGGAAATTAGTTAAAAAGTTATAAATAAATAAGTAAATAAATGAAGTATTGTAAACATTTATTTATTCAGGCTTTTTTTAAAGTTTTTTTTAGACAATTTAAATTGAATTGGCTTTGACAATTAATCTGATTTCGTTGGAGTTTTTTGGATCAAATTTAATCTTGGTTAATTGGGATTGGAGATTGGATTTAGCCCTTAAATTTTGGTTTTGAAATTATAATAAGTTTGGGAAAAGATTTATATAAAATTTTTAAATGAAATTTAGGAAAATTTTTATTAATATTAATTAAATAAAAATTAGAATTGAAAGTTAAAATTGATAGATTAAAAGATATTATTTTATAAATCATGAGTGTATATTTAAAAAATAATAATATATTTTAATATATTTTTTAAATAAATATTTTTAATAAAAACTTTAATAAAAATTTTATAATTAAATAAACATTATACATATTATGAAAATTTTCATTAAATTTTATTAATTTATCAATTTAAAATTTTTATTAAAAATTTTATTAAATCAGTTTTAATAAAAAATTTCCCAAATTTTACTTAAATTTTTTACTTTAAAATTTTCCATTAAGGAAAGGTTGTTTCTTACCTATGGCGGTTTTTTCGCAAAAGCATAAATCAGATTGCCTTGCGGTAATGCACAAAGCCAGCGATGAAAAAGACAGATTGCTCTGCTGTAGTGCACCAACGACCAAGGAAGCGGGAAATAGTAATTAGTTAAAATCATTGAGTAAACAAACCTATTAGCATGTCAGTGCTTAGTTTATTTTCTATGCAGAAGCGGAAGCAACGATTGATGTCGGAATGCCTATAGAAATTTCAAAACTGAAAAAAAAAGAATTTTCCAGGCTTATTTTTTGTTTGGACACTTTATTTTTATTATGACTACTTTTAAAATTTTTAATAATAATGATACAATTATATTTTTTTAAGACGTTGTTAACAATTGTAATAATATAATAATATATTACTTTGCAATTTTGTTTATAATTTAATTTTTATGTATTATAAATTAATATTTCCAAAAAGATTCTTAGATTGGCCGTTTTGTGTGCTGTAACAAGACGAAGCTTAAATTGAATTGAAGGCTTGAAGCACCTATTTCATTTTCTGAACGGTTCTTCATTATTACTGACGTTGAACTGCCTATAATTGTAGAGATACCACAGAGAAACTGAAATACAAATAAATAGTCTCTCATCATTTTAATTCTGATGTAACCGAATGTGCTGAAAACTAACAATCCTGCAGGCCATTCTCGTCCCTTCCATGGGAAATACCGGCGGTGATCTTTCCTTCCTGTTTTCTGAATTCAACGTTGAAGAGCTGAATCAAAAACCGTATTATAAAAGGCACAGAGGCTGCAGTTATGACATACCGATACTTCACAGATTCACGGGGAGTAACAGCAAAAATTGCAGAAGCGTAAGTCACGATCATCGAAATTGTGGCAACAATAACTTCAAAATGGAAAGGAAATCTGTAGGTGAGAGAGATGATTACAAGTATTGAGGCGGAAAGTGCCATAGTGTTAGCAATCAAGAAAACATAGTAGGCGGGCGACTGAGATGCATAAATAGCTCTGCCTGCTACAGGTCCATTGTCATTTTCTTGCCACACCCCGCCAGGAGGGTTGACCCCAGATTGAAAGGTCACGGCAGCTATGAGAGTTGCAACTACTAACATAACGTTTCGCACATCGCTAGGCTTGTCTCTGTTTTCTTCATACTGGAAATGCTTGTACCAGCTCTTGCCTGTGCTTAAACGGCTAACCATCTTCTTAAGCAATGAGGACAATGCTGAATCTTTGCTCTTCAAATGGTATATATATATATATATATATATATATATATATATATATATTCAACATGGAGATGAAGCTTTTACATATGACATAAACTAATGAAAAAACGAGATGATTCTCCCACACCAGGACAAGTTTGGGCTTGGTGATCACGATTTACATTTTAAATTAACTTGTTGGGATAACCGCTCTAAATGGGTGGGTATAATCCAACGATATTAACTGTATTGGACAGTTTACTTTTGGAGTATGAAATAAAACATGAAAATGCCGCTCATTTCACAAAAAAAAAAAAACTATTAATTATGACATTCGGCAATAAAAAAATAAAGAGAAAAGTTTCTCACAAAAAAACAATTAAAAAAAATAAATGAGAGTAATCTTGCAGGCATTATTCAACTCTTAAAAAGAATTTTTGTTTTGATATGTTAAAAAACTTATGCTATAAAAACGAAAAATTTTCTAATTGTGATTTTGTTCAATAATTAATAATTCAAATTAAATTTTTACTATCACTTTTACTAAACAAATAATTATACTTAATTATATTTGTATATATATCAAATATGTATTTATCTATTATATCTAATATTCATTTCAAAATTAATAGCCATGAAATATCAAGATAATTTCGACACTACCTCCTGGTTGGTACGTAGCAGAAATTAAAGTGTTTAAGAGCGTATACTTACCACATGATAATTCCCCTTTTAAAAAATCGTGACAGAAATTTCAAGAGTTTTTTTTTTTTTTTCCTCAAATCAAAGTAGTTTGAAAATTTTTTTTCCCTAACTTAGAACTAAAGTACTTTAAAATTTTTTCCGCACAATGACTTAGCTGAAGTCCACATCAAAATTCTATTCCATATCAAACTCTTCTTCCAATCTAAATTGAGCAACAATAATCTGTTATACTTTCTATCACAATTACATTCTTAATTTTTTTTTAATAATTAAAATTATCATGATTTGATTCGATCATAAAACTAAAAAATTTAGCATTTTAATGACAGATAATAAGACTGTTGGCAACTACAATTTAGTTTAGATGACTTTTTGTTATACAAATTGACTGCGTATGCTTTATTGATTGGATTATATTTATAATTTTTAATTGTATTTTTATCCAAAAAAAAAAAAGCGTTGATGTCAAAATCTTATGGCCTTCCAAATTAATGGGAGCCTACAATTAAACTTTTTTTTTATAAATTATTTGAAAGAAAGAGTAAAAAAATGAAGGCAAAGTGAGTTTTTCAAGCCAGAGTTAGAGCAAGGCAGACAAATTTGAAAAATGATTAAGGGACCAGATGTTCCCAAGCATGCGAGACTATGAATCGATTAAAATAATAAGGTCTAGCAGGTAGCTAGGATGGCCGAGGAAAGCTTAGAGCTCACTTAGCACTTTCTTTTACAATTATCTTACCTTCATTTCACATCGGGTGTAACCCATGTTTCATTTCCCTATGTGGCTGATAGCGAGCAAAAGCTTGAAGAGCCTCTCGTGCGCATCTGCTAAGGTGGACACCAAAACAGTGTTTCTTTCTTCCCATCACCTATTTTTTCCTGAACCTATTGAACATCTGAATCAAGCAAATTGGAGAAATGTAAAACGAGTATGTAATACTAATGATCAAGATTTCTAGATTGGGATAATTGAAGAGGTGATAATTCTATTATTGATAGTTGCAGATTGATTTTCAATTTACGATTATTTTAAATATTCTATTCTAACTATCTAAATTTCAATTATTAATTAAAATATGAAAAAATATATAAATATTCTTGACATTGACTTAAACGTTATTCTTCATAAATTAATTTTTTTAGGAAGTAATATATTTATATATATATGAACTGAATGATGAGTCTTTGTTTTTATAAGGAATTGGCTGGTTTTGTTGTCAATATTTAAATTGGTGGGTCTCTTTGACCTCTTTTTGTTTCATTAGTAACGTATGCCTTTAATCTTATATCAGCCTTGATTTTTTTTTTCCGGAGCTTCATTTCATGTCAACAAAGCCATTAGCTATAGACAGGATAGTTAATTTATGATTTTTTCAAGGTGTTGTGCTTATCGACTAACACTACCGTATTATTATTGATTTATTTTATTAATTTTTTTAAATAAAAAATTAATTTGCTGTCAAAAGATGCCTTGATTATATTTTGCTTTGGACAGAAAAGAAAATCCATATAATGTGATTTACACTAGTTTATTAGAATTGATTGAATCATTTTTTACTGGTCAATGTTAAACTTGTTAAAATTTGAGTTAATTGTTCAAGTTTGAAGGTTCGTTTAAATTTTGAAAGAGTTTAAAGAAAAATTAAAATATGTTAGGTGGGTTTGGTATAATTTTTAAATATATTTAAATTTTGAATCAAATTTTGGATAAAAAAATTAAAACCCAATTCGATATAACTCAAATAAAATATATTTAATTAAAATATTATTATTATACAAATATATGTGCGAATTTTTATTTTTTATTTTGTTTTTATTTTTTTATTATATAAATTAAATTTAATTGATGAATTTAAATTTTATTTTTTAATTTGAACGGAACTTGAAATATTTTAAAATTCAATATTTTGAATCGAATTAAATTTAAATAAATATATAAATTATTAATACTAAATATGAATATAATCTAATCCATGAATGACTCTAGCCAATACCATCGAATTGCTTAGTGTCTTGCAATATTATAGGAACTTGGAACAAAAAGTTCTACTACATGTGAAGAAGGCCCACTATTAATCAAACTTAATTTTGATTTTGGTTCATATTTATCTTCTATTGTGACTACTTAAGTTAAAGTCAAAAGGAGACTTTTAAAATTTAATTTAGCCTCCTTGTGGTAATTAATAATTTATTTTCACTTTATTTGTTTAATTTGTTGTGGTATGATCAAAGCATGGGGAAAGAAAGTTTTAGTAATTTGGGAGGAAGTTAGCTAAAAAGTTATAAATAAATAAATAAAGTACTGTAAATATTTATTTATTCAGGATTTTTTAAAAAAAGTTTTTTGTTTTGAGACAATTTAACTTGAATCAAGTTAGATAATTAATCTGATTTCCTTTTGATCTTTTAGGACCAAATTTAAATTTGGTTAATTTGGAATGGAGATTGGATTTAGCTCTTCTGTTTGGACTTTGAAATTATGACTAGTGTCAGAAAAGATTTAGATAAAATATTTTAAGTGAAATTTGTAAAATTTTTTATTAATATTGATTAAATAAAATTGATAAATTTAAAAGTATTATTATAAAAATCAAAGGTATATATTTAAAATAATAATAAATTTTGATATATTTTTTAAATAAATATTTTTAATAAAAATTTTAATATAATTTTAATCGTTAAATAAATACTATATATATATTATAAATCTTCTCAGTAAATTTTTTATTAAAAATTTTAATAAAATAATTTTAATAGAAAACTTCATAAATTTTACTCAAAATGTTTTACTTCAAAATTTTCCATCAAACAGAGGTTGTTTCTCACCGTCACCTATTAGCGGTCTGTTTCGCAAAAGCAGAAGTCAGATTGCTTTGCTGTAATGCACAAACTACAAAGGAAGTGGGAAATATTAAATAGTTAAAATCATTGACTAAACAAACCAATTTGCAGGACAATGCTAGGTTTATTTTCTATGCAGATGCCGACGCAAGGATTAATATGAGATGCTAATGGATATCAAAAAATAAAAAAATTTTGAAGGTTTATTTTTTATTTGAACATTTTAAAAATTTTATTATGAATTTTTATTTTTTAAAATGATTTTTAAATTTATATATTAAAAATTAATGTATTTGATAATATTAAGAATGATATAATTATTTTTTTTAAGTGAGAATTTTAATAATTATAATAATATAGTAATATATTATTTTAAATTTTTGTTTATAATTTTTTTTATATATCATAAATAAATAAATATTCTAAAAATAAATTCTTAGATCCTCCATTTTGTGTGACATAGCTGAAATTACAGTGTTGAAAGTGTGTACTTTATACATGATAATTCTCCTTTTAAAAAATCGTGACAGAACTTCCAAGAGTTTTTTTTTTCTCAAACCAAAGTAGTATGAAATTTTATTTCCCTAACTTGGAACTTAAAGTACATTTAAATTTTTTCCAAAACAAAGGTACATTAACTTAGCTGAAGTCCACAACAACATTCCATTCCATCTCAAATTCTTCTTCCAGTCTAAATTGAGCAAAAATAATGTGTTATACTTTCTGTGACAATTACATTCTTATTTTTTTAATATTTAAAGTTATCATGATTTAATTTGATTATAAAACTAAAAAATTCAGCATTTTAATGACAGATAATATGACATATGACAACTACCTTAAGTATAGATGACTCATTGTTATACAAATTGACAACTCATGCTTTACTGATTGGATTGTATTTATAATTTAAATTGTATTTTCATAAAAAACAATGTTGACCTCAAAATCTTATGGTCTTCCAATTTAATGAGAGCCTACAATTAATTATTTTTTTAAAATTGTTTGAAAGAAAGAGTCAAAAAAATGATGACAAAGTAAGTTTTTCAAGCCAGTGTCAGAGCAAGGCGTACAAATTTGAAAAATGATTAAGGGACGAGATGTTCCAATCAAGCGTGACTATGAATCGATTAAAATAATAAGGTCTAGCAGGCAGCTATTGTGGCCCAGTAAGGCTTAGAGCCCACTTAGCACTTCCTTTCACAAGTATCTACCAACTTTCATTTCACGTTGGGTGTAACCCATGTTTGATTTACTTAATGGCCGAGTAAAGCTTGAAGAGCCTCCCGTGCGTATCTGCTACGATGGACACCAAAACGATGTTTCTTTCTTCCCATCACCTATTTTTTCCTAACCTATTGAACATCTAATCAAGCACTGAATTATGAAAGGCACAGTAGCTGTAGCCGTAGCATAATGAAACTTCAGTGATTCACGCGGAATAACAGCAAATATTGCAAACCATAAGTCACCTACATTGAAATCGTGGCAACAATAACTTAAAGATGGAAAGGCAAGTTTTGAAGCCGAAAGAGCAAGAGTTGTTAGAAATCAAGAAAACATAGAAGGCTGGTGGTTGAGATGCATAAAATAGCTCCGCCTGCAATATGTCATATCCATTGCCATTATCTTGCCATACAACACCGGAAGGATTCACCCCTGCTTGGAAGGTCACGGCAGCTATGAGGGTGGCAACTGTTAGGAGATGATTTTGGAGGTCGCGAGGCGAGTCTCTGTCTTCCTCATTTTGGAAATATTTGAACCAGCTCTTGCCAGTGCTTTTAAGTACCATCGGTCTTACCAAATAAATTGAAAAATACTGGAACTGCTCTTATTCAAAGTATAAATAGAAACCGTAGATTAAAGTTGGAATTGAATGAGTCTTTCAGTCAATATAAGCCGTCTTTGTTTGCGGCACAACAAAATAAGAAAAAGGAATAGTAATGAAAATAGCAAGACACTTTCTAGGATAAGTTGGAGGTAATACTGATTCCTGCAGATAAGGCATGAAACTAAAAGGAATACTGAGCAGCCTCTATTGCTACTTGATGACATATATAACAGACTGATAACTCAGATTCTCAATATATGTATTCTTCTTCTTCCTTTTTTTATTTTTTATTTTTTGAAAGTAACAGGATATAGAAACTCATGTGGGGAAGAACAACAGAAATAATTAAATGAAATGCAGTTACTTGATACACAAACCAAATAAAATTCTGAGTTTTAAAAATTATAGTAAAGAACAAGTTGTTATGTTCGCACAATACAAGAAGAATAAAATTCTAAACTTATTCGTAGAGCTGGTTTCCATTAATTAGTCTAAGGCCGTCTCCTTGTTTCTGGAGCAACTTCCCATTTTTTCAGCAGCCACATGGTGAACCGTACCAACTCCGCAACAAAAAGAAGACCCATAAAAATAACCACTATATATACTTCTCTCATTTTGGTTGGACCCATATAGATTACAGCTATTACGTAAGTACCAGTCATTGAAAGTATGGCAAGCCGTAAGCCTGCCCTGAGAGGGAATCCACTGGTCAGGAGAGATATCATGGCAAGTGATGCAAAGAAACCAATTGCATTAAAAACAGTGAACACAGCAAAGATTTCAGGGTCGCTAGCCATGACAGCCTCTCCAGGCAGCATAGTTCTCTTCTGAACATTGATGATCGAGGATTTTCTTTTATCTGCTTCCCAAAAACCACTCGGAGGACTAAGAATTGCTTGGTATGTGACCGTTGCTATCAGGACTGCAACAACCATTAGTGCATTTTGAGTTTCGGTTGATGATTCCGCAACCTCTTTCATCAGTTCCTTCCATAGGTTCCATGAACAAGAAGATCGCACTATTTGCGTGTTGTTAAAGCTTTCTGCTTGAGTTTGAAAATAAGCTGCAGAGTCTGTTGTGATTTCTCGGGCTTTCACAGCTCCAGCTTGCTGAAACATCTGATAAATACGAATATCATAAAAATCACCTCCAGCTTGCAGCAAAAGATCTAGGACATCCCTTGGTGTGAATCCGCTTGAGTTCATGGCATTTACGTTAACCCCAGAAACAATTGCTTCTTGACCAATTAACAAACCTATAATCTGCAAACCAGTTTGGTTTGGATGTAAACAAAAATGGAAAATCAGTGCAGCTAGCGGCGAACCGATTTGGATTGTACTGATTTATATAATTTTGTAAACAATATATGGGCATTCAGGATTCAATAAGAAATAAACAATGTTGGTGATTTCACATGCTGCAGACTTGGTTTTTGAATAGATAAGAGACACCAATATCTAATGAAAGAATATAATAAATCGAAAAGGAAGCAAAAGAAATAAATAAGAAAATATGAATTAATTAACTAGTCGAAAGAACTGCACTTGCCTCATGTTGTCTGTTGAAGGTTGCCTGATGTAATATGGTGTTCCCATCCTTGTCTTTCCAATTCAAAATTTCCATCATCTGTAACCTCCTCACCTCCTCAATCAAGACCTTTGCAGCTTCAATCTGGTTACTCTTCACAGCCAAATGAAGAGCAGTTTGGCCCAAAGCAGTCACTTCTCTAATAGACTCAGGGCAAGCCCAAATCAGTTCCTTAACAACGTCAACTCTCCCTTTTAGAGCCGCGCAATGAAGTGGAACCTTACCATCTTTTCCCTTCAAAAGACATATATCATATCCAACTCTCATAAGCTCTCGTATTATTTCAGTGTGCCCATTTGCCGAACCGACATGCATCGGGTTAAAACCATCTTCATTTAGCTCCCTGGCGAATGCCGGCTTTCTGCTCACAAGTTCTGTTGTGATTTCTGTTTGTCCTGTCAATGCTGATATGTGTAGAGGATTATCGACTGAATTTAAGGCAACTCGATCAAGCAGAAATGGATCTTCCCCGAGTAATGAGTGAAATGCAGATATATCTCCAGAACGAGCCGCTTCGAACAATCTTGGTTCCATTTCTACTTGATTTTGTTGCCCTTAGCAATCCGACAAAATGCAGTATCAGCTTTAGTTTTTGAGGGAACGTCGTAGTATATTTTAGATGATTGAATTCGTAATCCTGAAGATTCATGGGAAACGTGAACAGTTGCCCGTTGGAGTGGGAATGGAATTTCACAATACGAGCATATTGGAATAAAATGTAAGCAAGAAACAAAGAATTATGCCTACGTTTGATCAATCTGCTCCTATTACTAGTATTAATTTACTTTTGAAAGCTGGAAAGCAGCATAAAAGAAACTTGAAAAATCTGAAAGATTTGAATCGTAAATTATTAATTATAAAGGAAAGGAAAGAGGGAATTTAAAACATTGATCGAAATTCTCCTCTCAGTCTACCGAAAGGAGAAAAATACTTTTCTTTAGTTTTGAGAGAAAGTACAGAGGCAAAGGGCACTTGGGTATAGCCACGGCCTAACTTAGGAAAGTAACGGTTGGGCTGCAATAAGGCAGGCCCATGGAAATGCTCCAATCCCTCTGCCAAGTGCCAATATAGACAACCCAGTGTCCAATATTTGTTGGACCACTGGGTTTGAACCCTTTGTTTGATCAAAGCAAAGCCCTTAATTTCTAGTATGATGGAATTTACAGTAAAATAACATTTGCAATGCTTCCTTCCTCCCTCCACCATCAAACCGAAATAAAGAGAGGAGATGGGAAGTTAAGAAATTATATGATTTTGTTTTGGAGTTGTTTTTCTTTTTGTAGTTACTAATATTATTGTTTTTGCTAATTGGATTTTTTTCCATTTTAATTGCTGATAGGGTACATTGCAGCCCAACCACATGCCTTTCTCCATTAATGGAACTACCAAGGACCAAGAAGGAAAATGCTTCTATCTTCTAAACGGAGAGTAAAAAAATACTCAAGTTGAATTAAAAGGCAGGTGACGGGTTCTAAAGGCTTGCCATTATCCACATGCCAACGAGCATAAAATGCTTTCTTTTTCGGCTTCTCGCCAAACATATTTGTCTCTTTCTCCACTACCAAAAAACACAAAGAAAAAGAAACCCACTAATGCTAAATACCAGCTACGCTAATATCCACCCTAAAGCCTAAACCTCAAGTAAAACAGAAAAACCACCACCAAAGACAGGGAGCCTAAAAAAAATAAAACAAAAATGGCCTTGACAGCCAATCACCACCCAATCAACCTCCCCCAAGTCAAGGCTCAGAGCCGCACCCAAAATCCCACCCTCTGCGGTGGGGTTACCCAATACCCACAAAAACATGATAAACATGAAATTTTAACCAATGATAGATTAGATCGAAATGGGCGCCATTGAAGTCAGAAGGAAAAAAAGGAGGTGGACCTCTTTGTCATATAGGATGGTGCGCAACTTATCACGCACCACCCCCCCCCCCCCGGTGCACGTTAGCCCCCCCACTCACGCACACCTAAGCGGTGGCCTCATCCATCTAGATCTCAAAATCAGCCGCACACCCCTCCAACCCCCCCACCCCCTAAAACAACCAATCAATATGTCACCAAACCCTACTTTCTCCTCCACCTCTCCTCCACGCCCAACATTATCTCCCGCTCCACAATTATTCTCCTCCTCCCCCTCCTCCCCTTATCTTAGTTTTCTTTCCTCGCAGCCCCGGATCCGTCTTGCTAAAGTGCACCGCTTCCCTTATCCAGCACCCCAATCTACCACGCGCCCAACATCCTTAGCCTACTCTGTGACCAGAAATATTCGATTATGTTGAACCCATCTTCTCCCTCACCCCAACAGGACCTACCATCGAACACGTCTCCACCACCATCAGAACCGCCGCTGGCTCTCCCAGCACCGCCAACATCCACATCTACGCCATCAGCAACCACCACCGTCACACCCAACCCTAGGCGGCTCCCACCGCCTTGTTGGTCACACGATGAAACCGTTGCCTTAATAGACGCGTACCGCGACAAATGGTACACGCTTCGTCGCGGGAACCTCAAGGCCACACACTGGCAAGAAGTGGCGGACGCAGTGGCTCGACGCTGCCCCATGGCGACGCCTCCTAAAACGGCCGTGCAGTGCCGCCACAAGATGGAGAAGCTCCGAAAGCGGTATCGAACAGAGATCCAGCGGGCTAGATCCATGCCCATTTCGAGATTTATTTCTTCTTGGGTCCACTTTAAGCGCATGGACGCTATGGAAAAGGGACCTAATGTGAAATCCGATTACAATTCGGATAGCCCAGATGAGGAAAATGATGAAGACGAAGAAGACGACCAAGATCAAGACTTTTACGAGGATGGGTATAAGAATGGAAGCGTTAATACGAGAAGTGTACAAAAGTTGTACCGAAATGGGATTAGAAACAGTGGTGGAAGTGTCAGCGGTAGTGGCGGTGGCAGCGGCGGTAGTAGCGGTGGCTTTAGGATTAGGATTCCTACTGTAGTTAGTATAGCGCAGCCAGGGCCAAGATTTTATGGAAAAATGGATCAGAAATACGGTGCAAATCCTACTTCCAACCCTCAACCTACCGCGAATCCTCACCCTAATAAGGGTAATTTTGGTGTGTCAGGGTCCGGATCGGCCTATGGGACTAGGGTTTTGAGGGGATTTGAAGAGACACCAGGGAAAGTAGCGGCGTCAGGGAAGAGGGAGAGAGATGCGGTAACGGAGATGGTGTCAGCTATAAAGGTGTTGGGAGATGGGTTTGTGAGGATGGAGCAGATGAAGATGGAGATGGCAAGGGAGATAGAGACGATGAGGATGGAGATGGAGATGAAGAGAACTGAGATGATATTGGAGTCACAGCAGAGGATTGTGGAAGCTTTCGCCAAGGCAGTTTCGGAGAGGAAGAAGAAGCCCAAAAGAATGCCCTCACCGGAGTCTTGAGATGGATTACATGCAATAACGGAAATTGGGTTTTCAATCCTTTGGCTACGGACCTACGGATGTGTAAGTGTAAGTTAGTTGGTGCGATGTTTACGGATTTAGTTCAGTTTTCATGTTTCTTTTTTGTTGATTCCTTAGTGATGGGATTAGTGTGCAACTTGATCTGCTGTAGCTTTTGCTTCCTTTTTTCTAGACTAATGTAGCTTTAATTTTATAATTGTGCATTAGTCGTAGAGAAATTTGTATTGTCGTAATTGTAATATTTTATCTAGACATAGGAACACTGTTGGTTTGATATTAGATTACTATATCCTTGTCAGTACACTTTTCTTCCTGTGTCTGATGGGGAAGCATGTGTTGATTTCTAAGTTATCCTACTGGTTGGCCTCTATTACAGGTTATTCATTTGTTTCTCTGCTCGCTATGAAGAAGAAATCCTGACAATTTTGTAGATGACACAGAACTTTTACTTTTATTGAGTAAGATGATGTAGGATTCAGCATGCAGCTAAGGATATGTGATATAATTCCATTTTGACTAGATGAAAACGGAAGCTACCTATGGATATGGTTTTTTTATTAGAGTTTAGTGAATCGGTTATCCGTCGGTTGTATGATTCAGTACATCAGGAAAGTTTATTTTCAGGAGCTAATAAAGTCTTCAAAGCCTGGTGTTCCACAATGTACGAGTCATTCATACTACAGGTTAAGATGCTCGGAAGATTTTCTGACTTGTATTGTTCTTCAAATCATTGTAGAACAGTTTGGTTTTCCTTATGGCTGATATCAAAGCTGGTCGAATAGCCAGGCAGATTGCTTCCCCTTTGCTTAAAAGCTTAATTATGTTTCAGTTTGCGGATAGATGCACTGTATTATCTGCAATATTTAATCCTAATCTAATGGTCTTCATAATCATCGTGCTGTACCAGAGATTCAATGGTCCCATAGCCAAGTTCATGTGACATTTGCATGCATGACATGAGGTTAAGTTGTGGAGCATCAAGCTTGAATACCGGATGTTCTTAAACTAGATTCACGAGCAAGTTCTGTTATGTGTTTGCTCTTGCTCGCTTGCACTCAAAGCTCTTACTTGTTGCATAACTTTCTTACCATATTTAATCAACCTAGTTTATGATATAATTCTTACTTATAGTCCAAAATTTAGGTTAATAAGGAAATAATAAAAATTAATCAATATTTTATTTATTAAAAAAGTTAGCACTTAAGGAAAGTTTACTTATATAATAATTTCAATGTTAATAAAAAATAAGTAAAAATTAATCAATATTTTAATTTAGAAAAAAAATTAATTAAGGATAAAATAATTAATTTAATAAATTGATATGTGGTTCCCTATTTATAATTTAAGGTTCGTCCATAGGTGAAAGGAGTGCACCGTTTCAGACTCGCAGCAAACAAAATCAATGAAATATCACATTTAATCGTTTTGGAAATCCCTGTCAAATATATAATTTGATCAAATTATGGAGCATTTCCCCCAGCTTGCTCAATTGTCTGCATCTTATTCCCTTTTGCGTTGGATAATGTCAGCCATTATCATTGTAAAATATTAAAATCTCAGAGACTAAACTATATTCTTAATTTTTGTTTTGTGAAGTTACATCCACCTCGAACGTTTCTTCAGTCTGATATTTTATTACATGTCAATGGCTCAAATAGGTTAACATCATAGACTTAACAAAGCGGTTATGGTTGCTAGCGTTCATCATCTGGCAGAAAAGTGATATGATGATTCTACTCAGAACCTGACAACTTCCCAACTTAACTTGGATGATAACCACGCCATATCCAATGCTATCTGCAGATAATTATAAATATTTCAAGTTGGCATTTTCTATTTTGCAGCAAAATGTTGTGTGTGTGTGTGTGTTTTTTTTCTTTTTTTTCTTGTCATTAGGTTAGTCAACCGTGCCCATTCTTTTTCTACTGGCACGGTCCAAAAGGAAGCATTTATTCCCTAGTCCCTACTCCATTGTCTATCGTTTATGCACCATAATTTTGCAGCGTTGCAGTTGCGGGGATCTGTTGCCCTTCACATCCTATACCGGGTAATGTCTTTCGCCGCATGAAAGTAAACTGAAAATTGGAATAAAAATAAAAAAAGGGAAGGATCATTTAAGGAATTGAACCCGATGTGAATCGAACACGCAACCTTCTGATCTGGAGTCAGACGCGCTACCATTGCGCCACGGATCCTTGTTAATGGGATCTAGATAATATTTTTATATCTAATGATACAAATTCAGCCATAGCTACGTGGCCCCACACACACAGCATGATCAAACCAGGGCCTCCTGCCATCAATCAAGTTGTGGAAATCAAGAATGCTATTGCTAGCCTTATGACTTATGAGGGTAAATATTCTTTAGATTAACGTTCTTATCCAACAGAGTGACACAAAGACAAGGCAAACCATTCTTTCTTCCATAGCAAGAACTATATGATTTATGCTTATTTAAGCTCCATTTGGGTTCAAATAATTTTTATTTTGTAACTGAATCTCTGTCTACAAAATCTTGGTGGATATATATATATATATATATATATATATATTATTAAATCAAACTTGGAACTAAATTGATCCAAGTAACTGAGTTTGTAAATCAATATACATCAGAAACTGGAAGTAGGAGATGAAAAATATCCCTGCACTACAGTGCTGCAATTTGATCCGATGAATATATTCAGCATCAGATCTCAAGGACTTTTCTTCATTCTTAAGAACCGTAAAGGAACAGGTCTTTCCAAGACAGATACTTTAACATTGCTCCACACGTCTGTAATTGTTGGAAGCTGCGCAATTTTCTCCACAATTTCCATATCTTCAGGTAGAACAGAAGCAAACACCGTGTATGCTTTTCTCCACTCATTATGGTTTGCTAGACTGATAAAGAACTCTGGACCGGAGCCAACCCAAGCAATCGATCCTCTTCTTACAGTGGGGCCAACCTCTAGTGGAATATCCTTAAATGTTGCCTCATGGGCTTCCAGTGTTCCTTGAATTAGTGCAAATGGGGGGCCGAATGGAGCCTACACAGCTCATGTGCGCAAGTCTCTTAAGTTTAGAACTTGAAAATGTTGAAAAACAACTCATGCATGGATTCTCAAGGACTGGATGGTTTGAAATGCATGGAAAGAGGACGGGACCAAGAGATATGATAAATAATAGATGTGACAATATAAAGAACGTGAAGAACTGTTGAGTAAATTGACAAGCACATCGTGGTAAAATCAGAGGAAAGGCTTACATGTTCAATGTGGTTTCCTTGAGGATCCCAAGAGTTCCCCCTGCTTTCAGCACGATAGAATTGGCAACCCACAGAATGCCGTAGTGCCAACAGCTCGAGAATGTAGGCAACAGAATATGGAGCACAATCAGGCAAAAGCTGGAAACCATGGATCACAACAAATATGAGACTAGGAATTGTGCATAAGAATACTGAGTTGAACATGTAGAATAAAAATAAAAGTGATAAACCAAGAAACACAAGACTTATGCCATTTAGTTTGGAATAAGACAAAAGAAATGAAGTGCGGCAGGAACGGCAAGAAGAAAACTTCAAAAAACACAGGTAACACCACCAATATGTATGTCACAGTTCATGTAAAATAGACGCTAAAAATCTTCTCACTGCAAAGACAGAAATGGTAGTTATATTTTGGACCAACCTCTCCCAAGCTACACAAGCACACACTTAGTGCAGAAACCCCCAAGTCTGGACCATATTAGATATGATTTAAAGAGTTGAACTTCATGAACTTAAACGAAAGCAATTAGGCATCTAACATCAACTGACTTCCAAACAAGCAGACAAACCTACATCCACCCATTGCACCTCAACTTGAGGTGACAGCAGACAGACATGGGTTGGGGTCAAGGTGTGCAACCTGCCCCCATATAAAGGAAAACAGATAAGAAGATTGCATGGGACCAACAATTCAAGTGGTGCTTAAATGGAGAAGAAAAACAGAAAAAAATGAGCTAATATGCTGCACACAATTATACTATTTGAAATTATGAACTTACTTTAACATGAACAACCCCATATTCTGTTTTCAACTTGACAATACCCTACAAAGAAAATGGTAAAGCATATTAGAAGTATGAACTAGATTTGCATATATTTTAACATCATAAAGATTATAAGAACAAAATGGATATTTCAGCATAGAAATTAGAAAGAAAATCACACTAACAAAGGCAACTATAATTCTGTGTTTCTTAAGGCTAAAATATTGCTATAAGGAAATACACATTGTATATAATAGCTAAGTTTTTCTACTAACTTCTTGATATCCTTTTACTAAAATGGCCATAAATCCCTAATAACTTGTATACGCTTGCTAGGGTTACAAAGGATTGTTACCTCCCAACACCTAAAAAGTTTAACATGTTATAACTTTTGAGTAAGCCCAAAGCTCAGAGCTTCAATAAGAAAAAAATTTTTATCAGCAAATATTATACCTCCCCTTTACCAAAGATTAGGCCGGATGTCCATATAACTTTATCACCTGAGTCTCGCCGATCAGGATCCAAGGTATCCTTTTGTTTCTTCAGCCAACACTGCATGCAAGAAGAGGACAAATCTTAGCAAATTTTATGATGCAGAACATGGCCATGGAAAGAAAAAAAATAAGATCCACCTTTTTAATGACTAAAACCAAAGAGGAAAACATGAATATAGCATGCTATGAATTAACTTCAGATTTTAGTTCCAAATTTTATATCCTCAGCAACCAAATTAAAAGGAATTCTCACCAATATCAGTAGGATATCACCCCATAAGCAATTCGTGTTAACTGCGTTGAAACAGAAATGTTCATTTAGTAGTATTTATCTAGTTCCATCTTATTTTCCCTTTTTTCACTCTCCTTGTTCGATCTTCGCAGTACTATCTGAAAGACTTAGAATTGAGTCTACGCTTCAAAATTCCAACCAACATTGCATGCAATTAAGGAAAAATACCAAATTACTAAATCCAAAATTAGAATTGAACAAACAAAGGCCAAGATCAGGTTAGTTTACCTCGCCAAATCTAGACCCACAAGCCTCTCTATTGCCACAAAACACCCAAGAGTCACACAAACAAGGCCCATCGTCATCCTTACACATCTCCTTGCAAGCCTTACAACATTCCTGTGAAGAATTTACTTTGAAGTCCGATCCCCATTTCACCGCATCACCCCACAGCTCTAAATGCTCAATTCCTCTGCAACATCCATTTTCTTCTTCATAGCTCCTCAAACGCTCACTTGAAGCAATAGAAATTGTATCGCCACTGCCTTTAAAGGCAACGGAGAAGCTAAGATAGGCCATGCAACAGGAGACTGCGGCTATCAAGAAAAGGACCAAAGAAGTAAAACGACCGAACTCTGAGTCAGCTTGCCTACGACCCATTTGAGTTTGGGTACCGAGTTAACAAGCCCAGAAATCGATTCACCAACTTATCGCCTCCGTCTAGTTAATCGGGGATTTCCAGCGTGATTGAAAACAGAGGACTCTGTTTCTTGTTTTCTGATTCTCTTTGATTACCCGACTTCGCACAGTTTGTCATGGTGGAGGAATCATGGAGCATCAGCTGTACGAATAGAATGATTAATTACTTGACACGTTTAACGTTTGTTTCGAGTCTGGAACAGACATGAAATATAAGCAAAGTAGTACAGTACAACAATGGATCCAAATAACCAACACAAGGTCTGATCTGAAGTCCATCGATTTAACGTTTAATTGATGACGTCAACGATAATGATGATGTGATGTAGATAATCCCAGTCCCATGAATTCACTGCAACCATAAAATCGAAATGAGATGGTAAATTGCGGAGCATAAAGAGAGAATGGGCGTGCGCCTCGGTTTAAGGCTTTAAGCTTATCTTTCAACTTTTTTTTTTTTTTGAAACAATCTGATGTTTCAACTTGTACCAAAAAAAAAAAAGGAAAGAAAGTGTTTTGCATTGACGTAAACTTGAAGTAGTATAACATTAGACTTCTTGGCAATCAATCATCTATAATGCGAATGTTTGCTATTGGCTGCTGATTTCACTGGTATTCTTAATAGCAAAGCCAATTTACCATTATTTTGGAATCTAGCAAGCAATAAATGACAATGGATTAGTTCTACTAAAGGCTGCACTGCTGAGCAAACTTCAAATTACTGGTATGCTTATTTCACTCAAAAAAAAAAAAAAAAAGATATTGCTGCCCTTGCACCAATTGTAAGTCGATGGAGATAATGAAAAGAAACAAAAAGCTGTTCATTTCGTGATCTCGAAGAAAAGAGTCGTGGATTTTTTCTTTATGAAAAAGAAAAGAACACCTTCGAAGGAAAAAATTCGAGTTGTGCATTTGGCTTTGTGAACAAAGAACCACAGAAATTTTACTGGTACTCCATGTCCAAACAATCTTGAATGTTGCATTCATGAAAAACGACGTTCAGCTTCCCTTGTACCTACATGTGTCATGGATGTATGCTGTCCGGTTCCAACAAAGTAGTAATATGTCCTTTAAAGGCCAGTCCGAGTGCTCAAAAGAGTTGGACGCTCAAAACTCAGAAACAACTTTCTGACCTGATTTCGTGAAAGCAACAACTTTCTCTTCAGGTTTGACCTGACATCTAGTAGACCAACTAAAAACAGATACAAGCAAATAAATTGGAGAATTTGCCTACTCAAAAAAAGTTTTAAGAGAAAGAAAACAAAGAAAAGCAGGCGCAGAACCATACATGCAAAAAGGACAAATTGAGAATCACAATTAGCTTTTTATTACAAGAACAAACTTGGCGCAAATTGTTTACAGAGCCAAATTACACCAATAAATAAACTACAAAAACTAGCACCAACATTGCGTCAAAGCATTTATGAAAAACATCATGCCGTTAAACGAGTACCTGTCCTGCTAGTATAACCTGTTGAGATAAAACAACATTGTAGACCACAAAGTACAAAACACGTTAAGCATACACTGCTATTCCCCCCCATGATAGAAAACCTCGGATTATTTCCAACAAACTCATGAAGCATAAGTAAAAAGCTACACAAGCTCGTTCCTTCCATCACCAGCTTAAGCAAAATGTAAAAGAAAACAACAATCAAGATTTTAATTGTGAAAACCCTATTAGCAATGGGAGACCCAGACAATCGATTGCCTCCAAACTTAGAATTTTTATCCTACACTAACCACCAGGTAACAATGAAATTCTACAAGAATTTCAAATATTCACTTCGAGTCGAGAATAAACCATAAAAGAACAAATCCACTGAAAGGCACCGAGTTCCTGTAGACACTACGCTAAATGAGATAAGTTGTCTCGCATAGACCCATTCTCTTACACATCTGTGAAGCATACTTGTAACTAGTCAACTTATATGTTAAAATACTTAGGGAGAGGGAAATCACTTGTTCAGTTTATCTCAAGTGTAGTTAGTAAAAGTCAATTAATTTGTCTACATTGTTACTCCATCTTAAAAAGAGTGGTCCAGTAAGTTGTATTAATTCAAAAATCACTAAATCAACAACATACCCACAACTTTGGTGATTTCTGAGCCATTAAGATTCAACTTTTCCAAAATCCTTGCTCTGCTAAACCCAATTTGTAAAGCTATGACTGCTTTCCCACAAAGTAATCAAACTTAAGAAACAACAAATAAATATCCAACTCAAGAAACTCCCCGTTCAACCAAAGTAAATTACAAGGGTTTCATCCACCAACAACTTCCCAAAACTACTATGAAGTATTTGATGATGTAATGAGGTATTCATCATAAAAAACTAAAAAATTCCCTGATGTAATGAGGTATTCATCATAAAAAACTAAAAAATTCCCTGAGATCCATATAACAACTTAAGTAGGAGAACAGCTTCATAAGGAGTTGCTTAATCAAACAATGACCTGGCAGGAAAGAAATAGCAAGTGTTGAAACATATGGAAGTGGTCCTTCAGTCAGACACTATTATTTTCCTGCTGGTCATAACCAAAGTTCAAATCTTTTCCTAGCATACTCCACCAGGCCAACCCATAACCAGAAAACCAGCAATTAAACACAAGAAATATTCTAAAGATATCAACCAAGAACACTAAAAATGCGACAGACTAAAAATCAAACACATTAGGTATTAGAGATACCATGTCCTCTCCTTCGTTAAGACCACCTTCCGATTGCATCTTAGTCAGGAATTCCCAAAGAAAAACAAAGCAAAACCAGAAGTTAAAAGTATGTGTCTATTGTCTACAAGCTTTATGAGACAAGGTTAAGCATGCCCATTAATTTCCTCCAGGCTTGTATATGGCTTCACAAGCAGCACCTTCACAAAATGCAATATGCTTATGCAAGAATGTTCTCCTGTGATTTCCTATAGCCTTCAGTTAGGTACCCATTTGAACTCTTCATGCTTATCACGCTGAAGAAAAGATGTTAATACCTTGTTTCTATCTTAATCAACACTTACCTGATGAGTTCAGTATGGCAAAATATCCAAAATCCATAACCAAAAATAAATTAAACCTTAATCTCTCCTTTAATACTCAGCCCATTAAAATATGTGATAAATGCTTCCAAATCATCCATTGGGAGGAGTTCTTAAATACAGAAATAAACAATTTTGTTCATACACAGCACATTCTAAGCACTTGCTGTTTTCATCTCTAAATGAGATAAGTGTTTCCTTACAGCATAAACTTGAATACCCACAAATAACCAGTTTGTGAAACTAGAAAACAGCTTGAACCAGCACACCACCTCTTTCACATAAAACGGTAGCCTCAAAACCTTTTTCTACAATGTATGAAGGCTATAGCTACTTGGCATGCTTCTATACAATACCATGGCCAAAAGCTTCAAATGGTCCACATCCTACAGCAGCATCCTTGTCATTGAAATCTGTTCCATAGACAAATTCACTTGTGACAATATGGCTATCTCCTTGCCAATACACCTCTCAGAAGAACATATAAACCAACTTCTTCAGTGAGCCCAAACCTCCATTAAAAATACCCTAATGCTAAATATTATTGCACTTCCAAGAGCACAACATGAAAAGGAATGGGATAAAAAACAATTTGACTTACATCAGTAGTATGACCTGGAACCTCCACCACCGCCACCGCCACCGCCACCACCACCACCCATGTAACTGCTGCCACCCATACCACGACTTGAGTACATGGATGAATAAGAGCTACCACCAACCTGCTATAGAAGCAGAAACAGAATATCGATATAAGAAAGAATATTTGTAAAATTTTAAACAATAGAAACGAAGGCAAAGGGCATACATCAGATCCCCTAGGCATGTAATCACCACCATAACCAGAGGATGAGTACATTCCTCCAACATCACTGCCGCTGAAAGAACCTGAAAACCATGCCAAATTGGAGTAAATCATTAAACCGGAAAACATAAAAAAAAACATAACCGCCCACCCCGCAGCCCCCCCCCCCTTTTTTTTCTTCTTTAACAAGTCAGCAGCAACTTATGACACACCTCCACCATAGCTCATACCCTGACGACTGCCATATACCCCATGTGAATCCTGACTGGACATAGAACTCCTGCTGCCACCATATCCTAGACTGGATCTCCCAAGCCTATCAAAATAAGACAGGAGATAACTACAGCTCCTGAATAAAGAGAATAAACACAAGACAACTGCTTATATTTGCAAAAGATAAATAACAAACCTATCACCATATGCATCCACATATGGAGGAGCACCACAAGCAAGTTCATAGTCTAGTCGAGCCCTTGAATGCCTGACAGCTGCATCAGCATATCTCGGAGGGACATCATCCTGATTCAACAAGCAAGTACACAGTATAAACAGCTAGGAAATTGTTAAACCATATGCTAACACAGAATTACTTGAAGGAAAAATAAGACCAACCATCGCCAAATATGGCCTTTTTGAGCCAGACATAGCGTCATAATCACGGCCACGCCCCTCATGGGAACTAGGAGGAGGTCTTTCAAACCTTTGTGCATATGCATCATCCACATAAGGTCTTCGTGCTGCAGTACGAGATGTGCCTCTAGGCAAATCATAGTAGCCAGAAGTGTGAGAAGAATACTCCTCTCTATATGATGGCCGTCTATCGGGGACAACCCTAGAACCATAATCTACAACAGCTCTGCTCCTTGGAGGAGGAAGCTCATCATGCCGACTATATTCCCTCTTCAAACTACTCTTCGGGTATGGTGCAACTATAAAAAAAAAGAAGTTGGAATTTTCTATTCTAGACAGCCAATTCAAGAATATAGGTAGGCATGACACAGAATTGAGGCATACCCGGTGCTCTTCTGTCATAGGATCTAGAAGGGGGAGGAGCCAAAGGCCTGCCTCTAACTGGTGCAGACATAATAGGACGTCTATCTCTTAACCCAACAGGCCTCTTTAGACTAGGTGGAGGGGCACGACTACTGGTTCCTCTTATTCCACGAGGGGGGAAGCCATGTGGAGCAGGACGACCCCATGAACCCCTAACAACTCGTCCAGATCCGTGCCCAGACCTGAAACCATCACGGCCAATGTACTTACCTCTGCCTCTCTGATGCGGTCTTGACAACCTGGCTCTGACTTTAGCCTAAAATAAAAGAGCAACCATTAAACAAGGTGATAGGTAACTCATGTAAACACCATAGTACACCAAGAACTTTGACTAACCTTGATGTCACCTTCACCCAACTCAGTATTGTTAATGCTCTTAGCACATGTGACTGCAGCATCATGAGTATCAAATGTAACAAAACCATAATCCTTCCTGTCAGCAGATGGCATATTCCGGGCAAGTTCAATCTTTTCAATCTCCCCATATTTCTTCAATAGCTCCCCAACACGATCCTCATCCCACGAAGGAGGTAAGCAATCAATAAATATCGTCCTAACCTGAACTTAGAAGATAAAATCATCAAACTCTTCTAATAAAAGACATTAATCTTTTTAACAAGCCTAACGCTTTAACACCATTGAATGTGAAAAATATAAGCACTCTTGCTAGTTGATACCACTTAAAGAAAAAAAGAAAACTGTTTTATCAAATTACCTGCGCCATGATTTCATCACCTGGGTCAATGAAGGAATCTGCAAAAGAAACCTTCGCAGGCCTATCAACCCCAAATAAAACATCTCTCCGTTGAAGACGTCTAAAAGCATCCATTGCATCTGAACGAGATGCGAATTCCAAGAATCCAAAACCTCGATTCATTCCCTCATTGTTGCTATCTTCTACCAATGTTAAGTCCTCAACATTGTCAACTCCATAATGTTTCAATTTCTCTTTCAACTGGAATAACAGTCAGGGACAAACATCAGGCACATATTATCTGCTGATAACTAGTTAAAAAGATGACTCACACTTGTTAGTGACGTTAAATGAGCCAATGTACTTACTGCTTCCTTTGTCCACGTCCTACATATATTACCCAGAAAAAGAGTGTCACTGTCTTGACTTGGGGTAACACCACACTGTTTCCCATTAATCTAGAATTAGAGTCATTAAAACAAAATGATTTAAGTTGTGAAGTCAATCCATTTTGAGATTCCAAAAATGATTATTGAAGATACAATAATTACCACAGGATTCTTAAGTTCTGTAAATGCTCGTTTTGCTTGTTCTACCATTGCAAAGCGCAAGAATGCAAACCCCTTGTTCTTCTTTGTTTGAGAATTCATCATCAGCCTGACTTCAACAACTTCACCAACTTGGCTGAAGACTTTCCTAATATCATCCTCAGTAGCATCCTTGTCTAAACCCCCAACAAACACTTCAAACTCTTTACGCTTGCGTCTCTCTTGAACAACTTCATGTCGCTCCTCATGCTCTGCTGCATCATCCAAATCTGCATGCTCCACTTCCTCCGCAGCATGCTCATCATCATCATCATCATCATCATCATCACCTTCTACTTCTACTTCATGAACATCTTCATCATCTGACAGATCACCCTCTTCCTCCTCACCATCCTGCTCCTCATCAAGCTCTTCCTCTACTTCATCACCCACCTCATCTGGATCCATCTCCTTCTCATCATAATCCACCCCACCATATTCTTCAGGTTCATATTCAGGTTCATTATCATCCAATTCTAACCGCTCATCTTTTTCATACTCCTCAATAGACTCCTTCAACTCATTCTCCTCTGCGATGAATAAGAGGGTAGAGTAATCCAGGCCAATCAAGAAACAATCACCTTAAAACAATTGATACTAAATTCTAGTAAAAACAAAGATCGCTAAACAGTCCAAATCCTCATAAAGATAATAACTATAAACTTCGTAAATCCTCAGGAAGGAGAATCAACGATAACTTGATGTTACTAAATATCACATAAGATCCAACACAAAGCAGAAAATTATAATATGCTAAATTCCAGAAAGAACCAACAAAACTACCAATAAAAGCCACAAATTTTGGTACAATAAAGACACGCATATAAAAACAGAGGAACGCCATGTAAATTTCAAAATTGCAGGTGCCCCAATCCCATCGGATTGAAACCAAATCAGATAAAAAAAAAAAAAAGGCAAACAAAAGACTTACTCTTCGTCACAACCGACCCATTGGAATTCAAATTTAATCCGTCGTTTTCCTCCATGACAACCCTTTTCTCCTCGATCACCGCTTGTTGCTCCCCAATTGCCTTCTTACCAAACTTACCGTCCAGCACGACCTTCTCTTCTTCCTCCTCCCTCACTACCACAACCGGAAAAGAAGCCTCCTCTGCGGGCTCCGATTGTGGATTCTGGGATTTGGATGACCCTCTAGTGAACCTCGGCGTCCTCTTTGGGCCTGCTGACGCAGCCCCTCTCTTCGCTATTCTAGGAGGCATTGTTTATCGACAACGATTGAAATATCACAATTTGATTATAAAAAAAACCCTAATCGAAACTCTCGATGGAGAAACGATTCAAAACCCCCAAATTGATAAAAACCCTAGATTGGTCGAAACAAAATCCAAATTAAAGATCCTAACTTAAAGAAAAGTTAACTAAATTAGAAAATATCTAAATTGTAGTCAAAACCCTAAACCTAAGTAGGAGAAAGAAATTCGAGAGGACAGAGAATATAATAAAGAAGAAAAAGAAAACCTCCAAAAAGGGAGATGTATTTTTGGGGCTCAAACGAGAATATTTATACGAGGTTGATCTGCGCGTTTGTTTGGTATCCGGGGGGAGGTATAGGTGTAAGTGGAATTAAGGGTTTCTATTGGTCGAAGGACTTTTTCGTAATATTTTGGACACGTGGACGAATGTATGTGACGTAGGAAAAGTGCGGTGAGTAAACAGGTGATTATTTTTGTATGGTTGAGGTCGGTCAGTTGAGAATAGGATCTAAAGTTGATTTGTTGCTGTAAACTGATAGGGGATAAAATTAGAAAGGCAATACAGTTAGACATTAGTTATTATAATAATGTAATTAAAATTATTAAAGGGAATATGTGTTTTAATTCGAATATAACAGTGGTTATGGATATAATTGAGTCAAATTAAGATGATATAGCGAGAAGCTTAAGTTTGACTCTTAATTCGTGATTCGATACTCGATTTAAATTCGATCAAATTTTAGTTTTTTAACTCGAGCTAAATTCATGATCGAAATCAAGTTATTCAAGCTCGCTTAACTAATAAGCTCAATTCTTATACTTAATAAAAGTCTAATTATTTATGTTCGAACTCAAGTTTGAGATTTTTTACAATTATTTTTTATTAAACCTAATAAATATTGTATTTTCAAGATAATAACAATAATAATAGCAACAACAACAACAATAATAATAATAAAAACTTATACAACAACCAAATTCAAGCAAATAAAAGTCTCATTAAATGATACAAATACAACACACAAATAAAAGACATGATAAAACTTAAAAATTAAAGTCCTAATTGAAAGAAATTAAATATCCAAGCAAATAAGTCTACAAATAAGTTACAACAAACCAATAATAATATATATGTTGCTTTCACATATGTCTTCAAATGAATATTAGGTTCATATTGTTTTCCAACAAACCTACACAAAGGAATAATTACAAAACAAACAAATTGTAATTAACAATAAGAATAATAGTATAAGCACCCATATAAAAAAGAATTGTGATATTATTAAAATGATCAGTAACTTTAAATTTTTAAAATTAGCATAAACATGGATTGTATATTGTCAATTGTCTTATAATCAAAGCAAAAAAAATATAGACAATGTCTTGTCAATTGCCTTAACATAAGTTTCTATCATTAGTTAACCTATGGTTCATAAACTATAACGCAAAAAGTTCAATCTAGACTAGCTACCACCTATTTTTTTTTAGTAATGTTATGAAAAATTAAAGGTATTTAGTAATAATATTTCATACATGTATAGAAGATATTAGCTATCCTCACTTTAAAAGATTTTGGGTGCAATCTCAATTGAGTTCTTGTCTTTCTATGTAGATAAAGTAAAAAAAAATAATAGTTAAAAATTAGATTAAAGCAATTATAGTCACCCAATAACAAAATAATAAAAAAAAAAAAACTCACTTTGTTCTTTTTCTTCACACCATGAAGATTTTGACACCAATCTCTTCCATAAAGTAATGCTTACACTGTATCATGAGCTAAAAAAGCACGATAAGTACCAATAACTTTACCTCTGACACTAAAGGTAGCCTCTAAAACCACCATAGTGATAGGAATAACAAGTATATCTCGAGCCATCTTTGATAAAATATGATACTTTAAAGTATTCATTTTTTATCATTTCAAAACATCAAATTTAGTGGAATCTCTTTTACATATAATTTAGATACCAAATTTGTTCAAATTTTAATTAAAAGCTCTCGGGTTCTCTGGTCGAGACCCGATTTCAATTCAAGTGGGCATCAGGCCTATTTCAATTCGATTGGGCTCGAAGCCCATTTTGTTATTTAGGCCCAGCTTGCCTTTTATTTTATTTTTTAATTAAACAAAAATACAAAAAATAGAAAGAAAAAAACAAAAAATATAAAAAAAAACAAAAGTGGCTGATGGCAGTGGGTGCTATGCACGGCATGGCACCACTGCCACCTCCCTATCCGTCCCCTGTTCATTACTGTCGCCTCTCCGTTTAGCCCTATCACCCCTGAACCACCACTGTTAACACCCCATTCCATGCCAAAATCCCCATGCCCCTGTCAATCCCACATGTTTACAAAACCCCGGATCCCTTGGAGCCTCTGGGTTTGACTTTAAAAAAAACACCAATCTCATTTTTGCCTTGACTCGTGCACAGAAGCACCCAAACTCTCATTCGCGCCCGAGACCAGGCCTCGTACCTCCACTATGCACTCAGTCATGCCCCCCCATATCCCTCTCACACCAAACACCTTTCAAACACAACAAAAAAATACACACACTCCCAAAAAAAATCACGCAAACACTAAAAAAAAATAAAACAAAAACACAGTCCTCACCGATTCAACGAGGAACCTAAGGCTAAGAGGTACTTGCACAAAAAAAATGTATCAGTTTTAGTTTATAAAAAAAAGGGCGAAAATAAAAAAAAGAGGACAGAAACTTTAAGCCCTGATCTACGCCAATCGGGGCTGTTACCTACGAAAATGAGTATGGATCTTAAAAGATCACGTTAAGGCAAACGTTTAAGAGGTTTTTTTATGTTTTTTGACCATCAACGACGGTCGAAGTGGTGGCTGGCATGGGCGCCCGTGATTGAAAGCCGACAGAGCATTTGGAGTTCTATTGAAGCTCTGAAAAAAAAAAATTTTGGCTCAAAAGTTTGAAATGGAAAAAAAAAATTTTGGCTTTATATAGAACACTAAAACCCAAAACAACGTCGTTTTAGGCTAATAAAGATCCACGCGTGGACTCAGATGTGACCCAGGATCCGCGTAACCAGACCTAACGACCTGCTTCAACTAGCCTTGAACGAGTCCAGACGAACCGCCAATGAACCAATTCAAACCGATCTAAACTGTTGAACTACCAAACCAACCAAACTGTATCGAACCATTAAACTGCTTGGACTGACGTTGACCGGACCGTTGACTGATCTGGTTAAACTAAAAAAAAAATTCAAAATTTTTTTTATTTTTTATATATTATTTTATTAATATTTGTGCATATTAAAATATTTATATTTGTTAGATTAAATGATGAAATATGTAGTTAAAATTTTTTATAATTTTGTTAATTTTTAAAACAAACTTTAAAAATAAAAAATAAAAAATAAACTTAATAGTAATACAAAATTAATAAAAATTGTAAGAAAATAAAATTTTTACTTGATGATGAGATTCAAAGTACTCTAAGTAGTGATACATATGAAATCTCTAGGTGAAAAGATTTTTCTTAAATACTATCAGTATATTTGAGTATTTATAAAAAGTTTTCAATACAATAAAAATTTTCTTTTTTTTAATAAAAAATAAAATTAATTAATAAATTAAGAATAAAGTAATAAAAATGAGAAAAAATAAAATTTTATCAGATGATGGGATTCTAAAAGTATCCTGAGTAAAAATGTTTTAAGAAATTTCTATGTGAGAATATTTTTTTTTAAATATTACTAGTGTATTGGAATATTTATAAAAAATCTTCAATATAATAAAAATTCTTATTTTTTTTCATTTTTTAAATGAAAATGACAATAAATAGTAATAAAAATTAATAAAATTTTTGAATAAAAAATATACGTTTGTGCATCAACATGTTAGCATTTGCATTATATGCATGGCATAAATTTTTTATGAAAAGTAAATTTAAACCTCCAATGATGAGATTCTAAGGTATTCAAAAAAGCGATGTCTAATAAATCTCTAGGTGAGAAAAAATTCTTTTAATGTTACCAACGTACTATAATATTTTAAAAATTATTTCAATAAAAAGGTTCTAATTTATTTTTTTCGAATAAAATTTGAATAATAAACTTTTTAATATAATTAAAAAAACCATTTTCCAATAAATGAAAAAATCAAGAAAATTATTTTTCAAACACCGAAAATGAGACTATTTTTTTATCAAAATCAAAGGATAACACGTAGTTAAGTGGTACCATTTTTAAATGGAGGCTATGGGGGTGCTAATCATTCTTCACGAGTAATCGACTCTCAAATCTAGACTGTTTTACAGATCATAAAATTATATTTTTAATAAATTTTAATTAATTTTAAAATTTTGTTAAAAAGATAAATTTTAATAAGTGGTCAATCGCACCTAGCAAAAAAAGATTGGTGTTCGACTCTCGCATCTAGACTGTTTTACAGATCATAAAATTATATTTTTAATAAATTTTAATTAATTTTAAAATTTTGTTAAAAAGATAAATTTTAATAAGTGGTCAATCGCACCTAGCCAAAAAAGATTGGTGGCAACTTCATTTTTTTTTTCATTTTTAAATTCATTAGGTGGCTCCAAAATCATTACGACAGATAAAATAACCCTCAACTAGGTATATATCTAGATCAGATTGTTATGGTTAAGCAGTTTCAACTGATTTTACATAATTTACAAATTTAGACTAACCAGAAAAAGAAGCTTCTATATTCATACCACTAATATCACTATTATGCATTTGAGTTTCAGCATCATGTTTATTGTTAAATTGATATTCACGAGCATATTTTTATAAATATTATAAAAAGCATCTAGAACTCTAGCAATATTTTCTCTTGTTTCTCTATCAGAGTACATTCAAGGAAAGCAAAACTCAACCATCTTCATTTTGCAACTTAGATCCAAGATAAATGCTATAGCCATTAATAAATTACATTATCCCTAATACTTATCAAATTTACTCTTCATCTTACAAGCCATTGCTTAAACAAATTCATTTTCATCATTCATCATTTTATCCAACAGTACTTTCACACGATAAACTTCATTCAAAAATAGGTTTGAAGTTGGATAATCACTTCCAGAGATGATTTTAGTACCTGAATTAAAAACATCTAAAATTTCACAAACTTTTTTCACCTTTTCTTAATCTTCATGACTTGGACAACATTCGTAATGAGGTTTTTATTTTTTAAGTCTTGGAAACACTTCTTTGAATTTGATTATAGTCAATAACATCTCGAATGTTGAATTCTAATATGTTTTACAATCGATAATAACTTTCTATCAAGCAACTGTAACTGCTATACTATATCAGAAAATGAGTTAAGTCTTGTCTCATTTTGATTAATAAAACTAACATTTTCATGAACA